GAGTACTCCAAATTGCAGCCAGAGGAGAAACACTGAGCCCAGCAACACATACACACAAGAAAGCGAAACCTTCTTTCTACCTGAGGCCTTGCTAATTTAAATACACAAATTGTAACAAGACAATGTTGGCAGAGTGGAACCCTCAAATTGCCGGCGTTAAAACCTTTCAGAGGCAGACCCTGGCAGGGGCAGCTGCTCAAGCTGCTAAAATCAACAAGGTATTTTCCTGGAAGCAGGATCTCTCTCCTCTTTCTTTCCCAACACTTGGGAAATACCACAAATGCTTTACTGAAATGCTTATTTTGATAAGTGAAAAAACCAGAATATTTTATTTTAGGACAGTCATCATTGGTAACTAACTTGTGAGTTTTCAAGACAAATCTGCTTTGTATGTAATACAGAGTTTTCATGTATTTTTTTCCTAACTTTCAGTGAACCCACTCCCCCCAAAAAAAGTTTTTGTAATAAACAGAAAATAACCCCATACAATTTATCTTCTTTCACCTACTGGGTAACTTTCATACATCTTTACATATTTATTAAATAATATACTGAGTTATACTTCTGACACAGAGCTGTTGCTTTTGTTATATCCATCCTAATAAACAGAAATGGCTGTAAGGCAGAGTAAGGAGATGCTTAGTCATCGAAACTGAGATTACAGCTACAGGAAACACATTTCTGAGGTAAGAATTAATTATTTATGTAATATACAGGCCTGGGAAAGAGGCTTTAAAAGCCTTTAGCTCTGAGGCTAAACCAAAAGAAGTCAAAAAGCTTCTGCACTTGTTTCAGTCCAGCTTTCATGGGACTGGAGCAGCTGACTGCTAAAAGTCATTTACGCGGAAGAAAGTAAAAATTACCGTAGGTGCACTAGCTGCGCCTATCAGCAAGTGAAAAAAACACAAACCCATGGTAAACATTTAAATGTGGGAACCAGCTTTGTATTTTTTGTGTAGCATTGGAAAAAATACACTCTCCTCTCACATAAGCTTGTGCGCTCATCCCCACGGTAGGCACACGCAGCACAACCCCTCCGCAGGAGTTCCTTCTGCCCTGCTTGCCTATGGTGTCTTTCCTGTTGTGCAGATGTTTTAATTTCTACGCGACTATTTGACACAATGTGCAGCAGTCTCCTTGGTGAGAGTTACAGGCACGTCACTGAAAGCAGTGAAGAAACTAGTCTGAGAGACAGGCTTATTAAGAAAACGAATACACATAGAGAAAGCACTTTTTGTGGTGTCTTAGCTTACAAAAACAGATGACTCTTACTCAAGTCAGTCAAGAAATGTACTTTTCCCGTAGCTCTCACAAATCCTCTTCTAGCAAGTATTTTAAAGCCCAAAATTGAGTTCTAACTGCCTTCATTAAAGATGTTGAGAACTAATTGCAGTGGAAGAGAATGGGACCAGAACTGTTCACATTTAATATTTCAATCTAGACTTGCAAAAAACAACGTGGCTTTGGCGGCATTTCCAAATATTTGTTTAAATAATAGTATTCTAAAATAATTTCCTTACAGAAAAGAATAAAAATGGAACAAATACTGAAAATAGTCTGTGCATTAACTTTTCCTAATGGCTCTAGTATCGGGTACTTGAAGCATACACTGCAGGTCAATGCTGCTCAGGCTGTAACATCTCATCTTCTACTTTGTCCTTTCAAAATCAACTGAGTAACCTGGCTAACAAAGTTTCTGAACTAGGTAGCGATATTTTCACTCCGAGGCTGGTGGCACAGCATCTTTCTTGACCCAAATCACATAAAAAGAAAACCAACACTAAAACAGATGGAAGAATTCAGATTTGGTGACGAGATTAAAAATGCCCCTCTGATTTCAAATAGTTGCATGCTGTGGGTTGCTTGACAGTGGCCAGGATTGTCTAAACTAGGTTACCATTGCCATGCAATAATCTTACCACTCTGAGACACTGAATAACCTAGTGTACTTTTATTAAGTAAATGGAAGCAGAGGTTAATGAACATTTATTGCACCAACTTAACACCTGGAAATCACAGGCAACAGTCAGACTGAGAGGCAGCATACTGGTAAGAACAAGTTTTCTTTACAAATCTATGAGCCCCTGTACAAAAAGTATAAAAGGGGCAAACAGAAATAGTTGTTTCTTCCCAATCCCAGGGCTGCTTCCGAGGTCACATTCAGCATAAACTTAGAGAATCCAAGAGGAGCTCTAAATTGTGCAGTCATATTTACAGTACTAGGAGGACCCTTCTCCAGCTGGAGATTGAAAAAAAAAATAAAAAAAATCATAACACTAGCTCTACAGCTGCGTGAGTCTTCCTCATGTAAGTGAAGCTTCCAGCTGAATCCATGGCGGCCTTCTGCCCTCTGCGTACCACACAAATAACAGAGATACACCAGGATGGTGTGGGGAGGGCAGGAGGCCGGGGAGGCATGGACTGGGGACACTGGGGAGTCCTGGGCTTGCTCTGAGCTTCCTGGGACGGCGTTGAAGTCAGTTCACGGAGCTCACTGGGCTGCGTTGTTCGGCTGTGCTTAAAGCCTAGGGGGGTTCCAAGTTAATCCTTTGCTACTGAAGGTTCCTACAAGGAAAACAGTCTGCGGTAGAGAGGAGGCAGGATGGTACGCTAACTGATGTGCTGTGTGGCTTTTGTCTCTTGGTGAAAGGCTACACAGTGAGAATAAAAGAAACAAAGCTATCCAGGTTAGTCTTTCTACTGTGTAATAGTAACTGAGTGGTAGCTCCACGTAAGAGAAGAAAAGCATGTTAGTTACATTAAATCACTACTTATTGTCATTTACATAGGGCAGAAGCACCCTCATGGGCCTTAGGAGTTTTCTTTCCTTACAGGCTGGATACACATAAACTCCAGGAAATTCACATTAACAGAGCCAAAATTGTGTAGTCAAAACATTGATGGTGGGCTATACCCAAATTATCAGAATTACTTTACCTGTTTAATGTCATAAACATTTGACATGAAAAATGGGTCACTGAAGTCAGATACCAATGCTTACCAGAGACAGAAGCTTGTATCTCTAACATGAGAAATACTCCAATGCTTGATTTGCAGTAGGTCTTCTCATTTTTGTGCTTTACCGGGAAGAGGTAGTTTTGAGAGTGAACGACCCCGTCACTCGATGAGCTCAGCTAGCATGTAATACTGCCATTGCAACCGCTGCCCTACAGGAACGCCTGCTGAGGTTCACCCAGGACTAACATCACACTGCACGACTATTTGAAAAATTACCCCTCACTCACTAAATAGTTCACAGTTTGCACCTATCCCCTTTTACAGGGGCTAAATTCAGAAGACATGAGCAGCTACTGTTACTCCGGTAGGTTCCCTCTTACGCGCTGGCTTGCTTACGGGAGGCCCACACAGATCATTTCTCACCGGCTAGTTTCCACCACTCCACAAACTACAGACTCCAGGGACTTGGTTACGGTACTTGTATGGGGATACACTCGACCTTCAGTAGGAGAGGGCAGGAGAAAATTAGCAACCTATGCACTTTGGGATAATTACCCCTATGATAAAGGTTCAGCTGTGACAACCTTTTCTGATTACGCGTGTGGTGGTCCCAAACAGCTGGGACAGCCCACAGACCAGTTACAGCTGACAGTTCCACTCTGAGGATAAATCCTTTGAGAACACTGTCCCGTTCTAATATAAACACTAAACATCATACTATACAACAGCACAGCCAAGCAAGCTTTTAAGATAAATCGGTTTAAGGTGGCAATGCTTACTTCTGTTAGCCATTTTCAGAAAAAAATGCAAACCACCCGGGCCAGTGAGTGCGTGAAGAAGGGAAACAAATCAACAGGTCAGCACATGGTTCAATTTTCTTTCTTGGTTCCGCTCTGATTCTGCATTAGTTCAACTTGTGCTGGTACAGGCGGAGCAGAGCTCCTGGAACAGACCACAGGCTGTGTGCCTACCAGGGCTTTCCCTTAACAGGCTTTAAGAAGCCTTTTCTCACTGCAAGCGTCACTGATTAGTTCTTGGAACTCCCTGCGATGAAATGAAGGACCCAAAAGCATTTAATTGTTGAACACATAAAAGGAAGTATATTTAAAATAAAAAAAATTGGTCAGACTGTAGAGTCGATTACCATTTTTAAAGGAATTTACAGGGCTGTTGTAGATGAGTCTTTTGGAATAGTCAGTTTATCGCAATGCCTAAACTGGTTTCTTCATTGCACAGTATTTTCTTTTAAAATGTGTGCATTTTTTAACAATTACATACATATTAAAAATCAGCATTTCTTTGCTTAAACTTAATTAAAACGTTAATACTCTCAGACAACACAGATCTGAAATGGTGAAACCAGTATTTGCCCCCTCCCACCTTACAACAAATTAAATTGAGACAAAATTACAAACACATTTCACTACATGATTATTATTAATAAAAATCAGTTTGCTTTTTTTTTTATAAAGTTGCCCAAAATGCAAGGGATGTGCATAGGTTTACAACTTAGTCAGAATAATATTTTACTTTATTCCCTTGGGTACGTGTTCCCATGAACGGAATGTACTTTGCTGTAGATTACAGGTTTTTTCAACACAGATACACCAACAGCATGAACGCTTGCGACTGTCCACATGCATTAAGAGTCAAGACCCAATTTCAAATTTCTAAAACTTTTACAGAGTTCTTCAAAGAGACAGTATCACATTATCTGGATGTTACACAAAAGTACTTAAAAATACTATCCTAGGAAAAAAAAAGCGAAGAAAGGCCTTTAAAATTTATGAATTTGTTTCGTAACCACTAGACTAATTATTTCAAATAAATAAAGGAAAGCAAAGTATTCCAATCCATAAAATCAGACTCTAAAAAGAATGTAGTGTTCCACCCCCAAGTAAAGGTAACAGAATCATATTATCATTACTATTAAAATAGATTATAGAAAGCAGCATCTATTTTGTGCAGTTTTTAGGGGCCCTTGAAATAAAAAGCTATGATTTCCAAAAATATAACATTCCAAAGGACTGAATAATACATATATTTAAAGATACATTTTATTAAAGTTTAGGAGAAATGATTAAAAAAAGATACTGTCTCTTTAAATTAGTGTTTAATTTGTTTTCCCCCCTCCTCCTATCTATTCGGACATTACAATAATTATAAATTTAGGTCACACTACATCTAGGTAGTCTCTAGGGGCCAAGACCTGTTGACACAAGGTCAGTAACGAAGAGGTTTGCCATGTATGAGGTGGTTCCCAGTAATGACAGATTCTTTTTTTTCAATTCTCTTGCGACCGGTCTAGTAGACCCAGGAGACGGGGACCCACTGTGAGGCTGTACACACAAGCTCGATAGCTTCCTCCAGGTGCCTGATGGTTTCATCGATTTCGTTGTTGATAATTGTTAGGTCAAAGTAGTGTGCATATGTTCGCTGTAAGATTTCAGACTCCTTCTGCAGGCGCTGAAGGGATTCATCCTGTTCGGTGATCAGAAGAGAAAATGGGAGAGAGAGATGTTGGATCCTTTCATACTCTGCTATCACAGCTCCCTAAATGTTGCTCACAGAGAAGGAAAGGACCAAAAAAGCCTTAGGGAGGCCCAGGTGGTTTAGGTCCCCCACCTACATCTATGGAAATCACATGAGAGAAATGGCACAATTTCTCTCTTGAAGCTGACATTCAAACAGCGCTCAGTGATTGACATTGCCTGAGACTAAACACAAGACTAACCTTAAAAAAGCAAGGCGGAGGATAGAAGCTGAGAAAAGCAGCACAGACATGAGCAATGGAGACCGTATATGAATAAAACATACAAAGTGCACAAATACGAGCTACTGGGCCTATGTCCAGGTAAGAACGCGAGAAACAGGAGAGGGCACATTGCCAGGTATCAGCTGTTCCCGGTTTTGGTAACGCTTTCTGTTCAGCCTCAGTCTGCTGGCTCTACTTCCTTTAACAATCATTTACTGGTAAGGAAGTTCTCACTCCAGACTGCTCTGCGGTTCCTATTTCAGAGCATGCCATTGCAGCATCTCTTCCTATGAGACTCCGAAGATGAGCTCGGGAAGGGCCAGCGACAGCAGGCTGGTGCTCCCCGTGGCTTCGTGTCAGTGTCCCGGCAGAAACCAGCGCATCCTACTTGGTGGGTACTTTGTCCAAGCTTTGGCAGCGAGGGCTGCCCTGCGGAGAGAGCGGGACTGCAGAAGGCTTCTTGCTAGGGCTCTGCAGCAATTATAAGTTTGAATTCTCTTCCCACAAAGTCCCTTAGAAATAATAAAAAAAAATTTGCTCTTTTCAGGAACCTCCAAATAGCCACAGGGAAGTAAGCAGGTCCCTCCCGCCCCACAGGTTTGGTGTGGACGTGGGGCAAAGCTACATATGAACAGGATAGACTCCTGCTGTTCGGTAGTGTCTATAGGGTCACCCCTACTTGAGCAGTCAACTGGGATACACTTTATTAGAACAGAGTTTTAGGCTGCAGGTGCCTACAGAAGTATAGACATGGTGCCTATAGCTGTTTTCACAAGAAATTATTCTGGGAACAGAATTTTATCCTGCTAATAGACAACTCCCCTGCTCCCCTTTTTTCTGGTTAAACTTCACACTATTTGTAACTACAGTGATAAGTAGCCGTAGAACAGCAGCTTTCAGGTCCTCTGAAGGGAACAACCTGTGCTGAGACAGTTCTCCTTTCCTGGAGCTACGAAACCAGACACTTCTGGAGAAGAAGTTCTGTACCAAAGTTACAGTTCTGCTTCTCTCCTGAAGCTGCAGCCTCAGACGGGGTGGGGAGGGAGGATATCGCCTTCACTTGATAATCACTACAAATTTCATTCAAAGTCAGACAAATACTTATCACGTGCACTTCTCTATAAGGGATGCTCCTTGTATGGACCATTATGCATTGCAAGCAACGTCTGGAACTTCCGTAGGAAATACCAGTGCATGCAAATTTAATTTATGCTATTAACAAATTGGATAATATGGATCAATATGTACATTAAATATATTCGTGGAACATTTCATATGGCCCAATGTCTTTAAGCCAAAAACCTAGTTAGGTAAACTGCCAACTTCTCATAGATTCCAAAAGAGACATCAATTTCTATCAGCAGAGGATCTGAACTTTTCTACTTAAATTAACCTACAAGGAAAAAAAAAATCATACTTGTCAAGCAGAATATTTTCAGTGCTTTAAACATATCTAGCTAAGATTAATTTTATATTTAGAGTCAGTCTTAGCAAAATCATATTGCACCTTTAAAAGAGTTTTAATCTCATGGTACAAGGCTAACAGTATGTGAAAAACCCCCACAAAGCCTTAGAACTACTAATTTATCTGTAGCTTTCTAACTGCTCTTCAGATTTTCCATCAGTGTCATCTTTACATACAAGCACAAGAATGAACCTTTTTCATAAAACATCTGTCTTATCACAACTGACAATGAAAATCTGAAAAACTTACAGCTATCTCATCTTAAAAAACAACTGGTAGGTAGAGAATAAGGAATACTAATATCTACCTTTCTTCTTCCCACAGCTCTCATGCAATAGGCATTTTATGCGGGTCTAGCTGCAGTGTGTCCATTATTGGAACAGACTTTTCTATCACTAGAACTCAGTTCTCTTTCCTAATCTTCTCTCCTTCTCCACCTTAGCTGGGACACAAAGGAGTCAAGCATGGCTTTTATGCGCGAAGTCTCTCCCAGGTGCATAATGGCCACCAGGGATATCGTCAGTCTCTGAGGGCTGGGTTTTTTGGGTCTTAAAGTACACAGGACAACAGCTGCTGCTTGTGACAGTCAAAGCACAGCCTAAGAAATTACTAATATTCCCTTCGAAGGCTGTGAACAATGTATAAGCACACCATTGCACCTTTGCCAATTTTGCTCCAATAGAGAGAAATTCTCCTCAATTTAAATGGCTGGAAACTTAAGAAAAATTCCTTTTATTCTTTGGCTGTAGGATGGGAGGAAGCATAGCTAAAATTCAGAAGAATTTGGCTCAATAAAGATTTGCACATGGCTCAATAAAGATTTAGATCAAAAAAGTAGAGCCTATCAAATCCTCTTTGCTGCTGTCTGGGCAACGGGAGGTAGAAAGCAGCTGGAAGAAAGAGGAACTACTCCCGTGTTTCCTGATATGCTCTCTCCTCTCTCTGTTTTAGCACAGCAATAATCTGATCTAAGTTTCCTTTGTGATTAGACAGGTGGTTACACTCTGGAAGATTTCTGATATGATTTAAATTGGTTTTGTGCTTTGCAGAATTGCTCATAGTGCACTGCTGCATTCAGTTGGAAAGCATAATATTTTGTCTGCTAACTCTTGCTGTGTGGTCCTTCATTATTGATATATTTTGTGTGGTCTGTGATAGGCTAAAGTGTCTCACAGAGATTTTTAAGACCAGGCCTCCGCACTGCTTTTACCACAAAGTTCAGATGTACAGCTGTAAGAGTAGAAATTTGACTCTTTAGTTTCTTTTTACTAGCAGATAATTTTAGCGCAGGTATCTGAAGTCATTACTACATAAAATTTTTATTCCAATGGCAAAAACAATGCTGAATGGGAACGAGCATATCTACATTCTAAAGCTACTGAAATAACCAGGACTACCTTGTCAGCTCCTAGCTGGTACTTACAGGCAATTTTCTGCACCATTTTGGCAGCTATGTACAATTAGTTACGAGTGCAGGAAAATGAAAAGAAAAGCAAAGATGAAATTTAAGAAAACATAAGGGGGGAAAAAAGGACAGTCATTTACAGAAGTGTTCTCAAAAAGAGTAAGTAAAATAAACAAAGCAGGATAAGAGGATAAACAGAAAGGGATACTCATTATGCAAATGAACCTTTCCAAAAGGAAGCATGAATGGGAAATACGAAACACACACTCTCCACCCTTGTATGTTGCCTTGCAGGCTTGCTAACACACAGACACAATTTGCACATCTCCCTTCATGCAGCCCAGTAAACCTTGGAAAATAGGATCCCATATTCCGGTAAGGTCTGTTGCTATTACCATATCCTGCCCTTCCCTTTTCTTAAGTTTAATTGATTCATAAATTAGCATGCTTTATAAGCGTGACCTCATGTCAGCAACTCATGTGCTTGAGTGAATCCCTGCGTGCACAGAGACTTTAGTCACAAGAGCTGAAAATAAAGACACACTCTTACAGCATGAATGCAAATATTTAGAACATAATACTTTGCTGCTACTAACGTTTCTCTGGCATGAACAAGTATTTTCCCACCACTACTACAGAAGGTACATTTCTGTTCTCTTCCCAGTGTACCACAGAAAACAGTTTCTCCCTCATATGAACTGTCCCAAATGCCTCTGTATTATATCCTATGGCTGGAAGATTAGAAGTTGAGTACCACTAGCAGATAAGTGAGGGCAAGGAAGACTATCTGGTAGCTGAGACACAGGCAGGGAGGCAACAAACCCAGGCAATTACATAATTCCAGAGTATCTGGCTACCTGAGCACTGCTGTAAGCACAATGCTTGCCTGACACATCCTAAGAATGATTCCAACTATTTTTAAAGTGATGCCATGCCATTTGCTTGCACAAAGGCAAATTCAGTGTAGAATATAAAATGTTGGTATTTTCTCAAGATCGCACTGATTTACAGCATACGCCAACACCAGCAGTTAGACAAACTGTCACTTCACTAACATTGCAAATTGTGGTGTTCTGAGGGATCTTCATCTGTACATTTGTGACATTTACCAGCTAGGGTATGGGTCCAAATGACACACCTTGCTGCTGTGAAAGCTAAAAGATCCTTCTTCCCCTTCCCATCTCTCTTCCTGGCTATATGCTTTTACTGCTTGTTCTGGCATTGGTGCTTGTCAGAGCCTTTGTGAGCTACTTGAAAACTGACAAAAATCCAATTTAAAGTAGCTCGCTAAAGGATCTATTATATGTCCCAGATGCAAGTTAGAGAGAATCACTCCCTTCAGCAACAATAAACTAGTAGAATAACTCAGCTGCCAGTAAAATTTGCAGCTCAAGGACAATATTTTTCACTCTCCACTTGCTATTTTAATAATAATTCAGAGTATTTGCATTTAAATATGTTTGTCTTGTTCCTTATTTTCCTGCAAGCCTCTGCAGTGATGTCATAGTTTCATACTTATGATACTGTATTTACATTTCTAGGGAAACAGGCTATAGAGACAGGGCTTCTGACTTTATTTCTGCGTGATCAAGGAGACTTCTAGGAGATTTGCAACAGATTCATGGTCAAATCCAATTGAGTAAATACCTTAGCATCATGGTCTAAAATAGGCTGAGCAGATAAACTGTTTGTATAAATACCATTTGCCCTGTGTGAGCTAAATCCAGAATTGCTTGATATTTTCTTTGAAACCAGTAGCAATCTGCAGAGCTCTATAAAACTAAGTAAGAAGTTCAAGATGTGGACCTCCATGAATACTTAACATTATTCCACAAGCAATTACCCCTTTGGTCAAAGCTTTCAATTCTTAGAGAACAGTCTTCGAAGTTAATAAGCTTATTTCTGATATATGTTTGCTGTAGAGAAAAAATACTAAAAGATAAAGGTGGGATGTCAGCACAGTCACACCCCCCCACTTTGTCAGCTGTAACCTAGTGCTAACATTGCAACTCAGAATTGAGTAATTTGTGCTAATGATTTGTCAAGGATCTGGAAATGGATCCTTGAGCTAGGGCAGGGAATGAAATAGAAGAACATGTATTTTTAGAATACATCATGTGGATCCTTCAGCTTGAAGTTCATATTTTGAATTAGAAAAATCACTTAACAAATGATAAATGCATCTCAATCGACTTAATAATGCTGCCATACAACTTCTTTCTGCCTCTCCATTTACAGACAAGGAAACAATTAAAGACTCTTATTTGCATATTTGAATCTCATCCTTAATTCTGTCTCTGATAGGACATTAGATTGCTACATGTCATACCTCATTAATGCCTGGGGTAATCGTAGGTGCAGCAATAAAAACAACAAAAGGAGCAAACTCTGCAGTTCTCAGGACCTTCAATGCCTAGGTGAAAAAAAAATCAGATATTTTAGAAGAATCCCCCAACCATCAGTGTGAAACATGTCTAGCAAAAGATACAAAATCATGGTTTACCAATGCGGGTATTTGTTTTTAATTGATATGGAGTCAAGACCTTAGTAATACAGAAACTTCACTTTTTGCATTATTTTTGATGGTCAAATCGTATCTTTATCCTTAATTAAAGTGAGTTTTCAAGACAATGAAAATTTCAGAATTTTCAGAAGCTTTTCCCATACAGTCTCAAAGGGTGCAGAATTCTGTTTGCATTTAAACTGAATGATTAATGCCAGGTAAAAAAAATCAGTCATGCCATAAATAGGGAAAAGAGCCAACAGTTAGAATATTTCGAGAATAAATATTGATTAGAATGTAATTTTTTGTCTGACTTCTACCTACCAACACTTTTAAATTATTATTTTCTGAAACAAATTAGAATGTGATATGAGAGGTTTGAAGTTTTTAAGAAGTAAGCACAGTGAATTTTTTAAAAAGTGAGCATAGCACTAATGCAGTAAATGCAGCACCAATCCCCTGGACAAAATCTGTGCAAAAGGAAAGAGTTCTCATTAAGAAGTTGACTTTGTCACAATGTACTGAGTGAAACACAGAGCTGCCGTAAGTGAAACTTTGGTACAGATCCAAGATAGACTGAAGTACAGGACAGCAAGGAAACATACCTCAGCTGAACTCAAACGGATTGACAAAATAAAGTAAGACTACTAAAGGTCAGTCTTTTTTTCCTCCTTCCACTCCCTGTCTTCTCAAAAGTTTTTTTTTAAAAAAAACACAAACCAAACAAAAAACCTCAGTCCATCCTTTTCCCAAGCTAAGGAGGTTTCCATCTCTGCTGCTTGAAACCCACCTATATGTATCATCTATGTCAACCTCCTCTAGACAAGACGTAAACCCCATCTGTGAAAGTCAAGAAGACTGACATAACTAAGAGCACTCAAGGGAAAACAGGCAAGAAGCATAAGATAACTAGGAATAAGTCCACAAACAAGCTAGCCTTAATGAGCTGAGACGGATGCATGAGGGAGCTGGTTAAGAAAGAGGCTTGTTAGACACATGCTGGAGGAAGTGTAGCAAAGGCAGCTGTTACCAAATGTAAAAATATTCTAATCAAGATTAAAATGGCTTCTGATAATTGTAGTGCTTCTGAATAATGCAAGTTGAAAAGGTTTATCAAGAGAGTTTGCTTTTAACAGCTGCTCCATTTGAACTAACTATAAATGCTGCTCTCCCTGAAAACTATTAAATATAAGATTTTATTTTTCAGAACAACACCACAAAAGCATACTATGTGAACTGTCCTAAATAATTTAGTCAAGTATCTTATTCCTTTTATGAAATTCTTAAAGAATTTGAACTTCTTGAATCCATTCTCAAAGAAGAAAGAAGGCAGCAAACTTAAATAGATAACACTGGTCACAATTTTAATTTGTCTTTCCTCCCATTTCCTTCAATCTGCTAGAATAATTAGATATCATGTTTGTCCTTATTCATGTTGTTCCACTTGATAAAACACATAAATACATCCCTGTGAATTGAAAGTCATGACTACGTGGATGCTTCAAAGGAAGTGTATCAGAATTTTTCACTGAGGACCTTATGTAATGAATGAACAAACTATTGGTGTTTCCCAAGAGCCTGATTTTCCTTCCTGCCCTCTTCCAAAAAGTATAATACTGCAACACAGAAAGGAGTTTATAAAGTAACAACACTGATCTGGTGATTGTGCAAACAGGAACAATATTGGTGACTGACTATAAATGTTTCTGACCATGCTCAACAGTGATACAGAGCCAAGAGTCAGTTAGGAACAAGATTACCCTCTAATACAGCATCAAAGAGAAATTTTTTAAAATATCAAAACATTACTCCTGGCATGCATTGACAATCACTTGTTTTGATACCTTTTACTGGACATGAGACTAATATATCAAAAAGTTACATGATAAGTAGATTTTCAAGCTATAGTGGTTGCATACCAAGGTAAACTATGAATTTGTTTTTGTTGTATGTTCTTCTAATCAGAATTATGTATGTTCATTACCAGAATTCTGCTTCACTGATGGATACCTTGGTGTTCCAGGGACTTATGTTCCACACTACTGTACGCATTACTTATCTAGTGTGCAATCAGTAAAAATAAATGCATCTCAATAAAATAAGATTGAGGGATTTGTGACAGGTCCCATTTTCATATACTTCTAATTAGTTACCTGAGGTTCTACATCAAGTATTGCAATTAGTCCCTGCTCATGGATCTTTCGTATTGTTTCCAGTTTTGTCCCATACATTGCATCCTCATGGCTGCCGTATTCCAAATATTCATTGTTTGATATATCCTGCATCATTTGGTCATGTGATACAAAGTAGTAATTTTTCCCATTTTCTTCATCTTTCTTTGGAGGTCGGGTTGTGTCTGAAAGTACAAAATATAAAATATTTTCAGTACAAAAGCAATATTAAGCTTATATATGGCTTTTTGTTTGGTTTATCAATACTTATTCACTGAATGATGACCTGCCAAATCACATACAGAACAACGAATCATGAGCTCGGGGTAGGCAGAATGACAGAGGCTGGGAAAAGCAGGAGTCTGGTGTATGCATGTTGGGAAAGCAGGAGGTGAAGGGATGTCGAAAAGCTAAAAATCAAAAGGTAACAGAGGAAGAACAGAAGGTCATCAATAACCTTTACCTAGTCAAGACTACAGGACTCTATCAGCTGCTTTGAACAACAAACGACAGCCAGATCTCACAGTTCTTCTAGTTTCTAAACAATTGAATTAACATTCCCATTTTACCCTGGGGTCCAGTACTGGGCCCAGTCCTGTTCAACATCTTAATTAATGATCTGGATGATGGGGCAGAATGTTATATTCAAAAGCCACCTGGACGTGGTCCTAGGCAATTGGCTCTAGGTGGCTCTACTTGAGCAGGGGGGTTGGACCAGATGACCTCCAGAGGCAGGGATCTCAATCAGTCTGTGATTCTGTAGGCCATTTGCTCCTCTTTTCCCCACAGGCATGCTGATATGCACTTGCTTCTCTTTCTTCTATATTTCCCTCACAAATTGATTTACTCTCGTATTTTTCCACCACGTTTATGCTGGTGACATATCTGAAACACCACGTCTTCCAAATCTATTCCCATATCTTTCAACAACCTTGACATAATTTCAAATAAAGTATTCAAAAGTTGAACTCATTCTATTTTTAATTATACCTATTACTGTTCTGAGGATTAATCAGCATATTTCAAAGACGAAAAGTGCTACAAAAATATAATAATTATAGTTATTTTAATGAATTCAAGAACAATGGATTATATAAACCATATAATATCACTACACAATTTACTGTTGCCCTGTTACTGAACTTACATACTCTTATATTTCCCCCAAATATTTATAAAAAAGGTGTATGTCTAAAAAGCAGGTGAGGGCCTGATTACTTGTGGTCAAGAGATATGACAGCTACTTAGCAGTAACATACTTTTCGAATATATTGCTTCTGCAGACCTGTGTGGTAGGGGATGTATGACCTACTAATCCTTTTAATTAACTACCATTGTGCGTGACATGACCTTTACGATCAGGCTTTCAGTAGGTAGATAATTTCTTCACAAAGTATTTCCCAAAACTCCACACCCAACTTAAGGCCTATCTCAAAAGCTACCTACTCCTACCATGGTTTTGTAAACGAATGCAGAAAATGCAGTAAAATCCATCCCAGAGAGTTGGAGAGAATAATTTCAGTTACCTAGAGTCAACTGAAAGACAGACCAGGTTCCCAGAATACTTAAAATGTATGTGATATATTTTATGTAATCTATTTTAGATCACTAACATAAGGAAATAATTTGAGTCTCTAAACACCAGCATAAAGTGCTATTTTGTATGCCCTAAATGCCTTAAATCCACCTTAAATCTGAAACATCCACATAGGACTATTAGATACAACACAGGAGTTAAAGGCGACTATCGCTTTTCTGAAGGGGGGCTGGAGATCAGGTGATGCCTTAAATACGCAGGCATCCAAACATCATACTGATGCTTAAGCACCTGAATTTCATCCTGATTTGCAGTCTAGACATTTTACTCTTATATAATCGGTGAAGTAATTGCTGTGCTTTCGCAGAGCAGGAACCTCATGCAGGCAATCTATGGCATAGTCATTATGGTATAGGTAAGGCCATTTAAATAGGTATTTTAAGATGAAATAACTAGTTCAGCTCATACTTCCCCACAGCAATACAGTTAGTACTTGAGAGAGTCTGGGTGAAAAGAATACTGTAAACCATTTATTACTCTTTGTAAGAACAAAGTGATGTTGTGAGAACATAATTGCTGGGTTACTACTCCCTTCCCCCCATATAATCTTGCCTGTATGAATAACAGTTCCAATATACATTACATACTTCTGGCACCGCACTTTTTAAAGAGTGTCTAATCCAGGATTTTAGTGTCTAGATACAAACAGTAGTGTGACAAACAATGCAGTTCCACATTACTGCTGGGATGATCTCGTGGCTCATGCTTTCAAAAGGGCTAGATCTTTCTGCTTTCCTTCTGCTGGCACTGGTCTTTGTCTAACTCCTTAGTGAGCAAGCCTGAGGAACTTAAATCAGCAGCCAACAAATCCTTTTCTACTTCCAAACAGGTTTACAGATAAGCTCTTAAAATAATACTTTTTGGCAAAACAAAAATCCTTATAGGTAAAAAACCACCTAAGTGCTGTATTAAAGCAAAGCATTAACAAGGTATAAAGAAAATTAACTTAAAGCATGATGGCCATCACTGTCACTTCTGAACCATATATGGTGTTTCTGAAGTCAGCCTGAAATAGAGTGGACAGTTAGCTGCTGGGTGCTCGTTTCAGAACGCCTAGCTCAAGGAAAAAGGGTGCATCTCCAAGACATCATGTAGTAGGATATGCAATTACTGCCATGGTATTGGTAGAGATTGTCATGAAGGGAAAGCACCCCCGTGCTCTTTGTAACAACCCACTTGTAAGCAGTGAAGTTAATTGCATTTTCTTTTTCTAATTGTCATCTCTGGAAACTTGAGCTTATTTTAGCATAATACCAGTTCTCAAGGCTAGGCTGTGAAAAGTAATTTAAAACATTCAGATAGGGTACACATTAAAGGTTTCCTCTAAATCCAGTTTATATTTCTTCTCATGGGAATTATGCACAGTTTTAAACATCATGGCTTGTTCCAGTCTTACCTAAACTGTAAATGTAAAATTAGCACAGAAAATGAAAAATTATTTAGCCTTCATTCTAAATTAACAAACGTTTGGGGTAGAGAGAAGTATGTCTAACAAGTTTTGTGAATACTAGGAAACATTCAGTGTAAAAATGGTGTTACTTCTTTTCCCTCCCTCTGAAAAAAAACTAAAGAAGAAATATACCCAGTCCTATCACAGTTCCCACCTTAAAGACAGGCTTTGTCCCAGCAGAACTGAACACATGTAGTACTGCAATGGGTATTGTCTCAAGGATGCTACAAACAATTTTGCACTACATTGAATGTTGCTACTTACGAGGAATGGGGTAAGCAAATCTGTCCGGGTGTTTTGTGATGAGTGTGTTTTTTATGTGTCTTCTTCCAACACCATGTGCACCTAATCCACAACACAAAAATGAATTATAAATTTTCCACCAGAAGGGGTTCAAAACTATGCTGATATGTTCAGAATAATAACTCAAAATTACCTAGTAAGACTAGTGTTTTCCTTTTGAATGCTGGCAGTTTTACTACTTCTTCATATGTGACGAGATCTAATTGATCAAACACTAAAACACAAAAGAAATCCCCACAGGGATAAGAAAAAAGGGCTTATTAAGGGTGATAATTAATGGTGCTACAAATTATAATTTTAGCAAGTTTTAGATTTACAATACAAAGTAATATGTTATGGAAAAAGAAAACAATTTCATTATGCAGTTTTAACAAAAGTGCTCATTTAAAAAACTGTTAAAAAACAATAACAAAGCTACTGAAATGCTTAGGAAAGTTCGCATGTCCTTTCATGCAGTGTTCAGCAGACCACAAAAATTTGCTAAAATGGCATGCCATTCACGTTTGCATTCCTAAGAAATAGCAATACTAAAAAAAATCTGTAGACAGTGACCAACATGAATACACTATGAGAACATCTATTTACACTAAAGATAGGGATACTTTCATAATCATGTTTTAACAAGATCTATGAGAAATGTAAATACCTTGTGGAATTTATTCTTCAAAACTACCACCGTATTAATTGTAATTAGAGTTCTCTTTAAGCACACGTGCTAGTTAAATTGACATGCTTTTAAAACTTGTGACAGAATGAAGAATTGTAACGAAAAGTGATGGCACTACATAAAAGAACCTCCACCATATTTAGGGAAAAATTGTAAAAGTATTATTTCAGAAATAATTGCAACTGCAGTTGAAATTGTATGAATTCCATCATGCCTATCAATCTATTGTCAATTGCCAAGGTATATAATGATTGACAAATCAAGTTTTGTTCATTAAAAACAGCTTATTCCTCCTGTGCCCAGTAACACAATATCTCTGGTAATTCTTGCAGAATTCTAATGAAAAAAGAAGCCAGGAGGCAGTTGATTATATTTATAAAGATTACACAGATCAGAAATTGCGAGTAGAATAATGAACAAGAGTTTTCAGTTCTGTATTTATGCATGCTAGAAGAAGAAGGGAGGAGAGATTGCATCTGATGTATGGAATCTTTGAGTGTTTCCAAGTCCTAGGCTGGTGTATTCACCTCAACAATATCCCATCCATATTTTAGGATGAGTCTGGATATATCCCTCTCCCCTTATCCAAAACCCTTTAGGAAAGTAGGCAGTGGTGGGAGCTTTAGTTTGCTTGCTCCAGAAGTCCCCAGCCACCAAGATCAGCACGAAGGCTCTGGAGCCTACTGGAAAGCACATGCTCTTTCCACTAAAGTCCCAGTTAAAGCAGCAAAAGATTTAACTTGATGTATTTCTATTTACAGGGCAGATTTTTCAATTCAATGGCAGCCTTTTTACCCTAGAGAAAAAGTACAACTACTTCAATTTGGTCAAACTACAAATCAGTTGGTTGACATACTCAACTCTTTAAGACCTTGAAGAGATACAGATATGAAAACTTCCTAGTTCATTTGAAGCATTTTGAATTTCACTCTAAAGAAGAATCTTGTTCAACCTTTCCCCAAATATTACAAGCAAGAATTTAGTCATGTTTTTCTTCCATTACACAAACCTATAAACATGGAATTCTTACTACTGTCCTTTTTGCAACTTCACACTATTTAAACTAATTAATAGTTCACTTCACATTAGAAAGCGCTACAGATCTACATGTTCAACAGTTTTACCATTCTAACCATCTAGACCTGCAAGTATCATTTCCCATTAAAAAAAAAATTTAAAAATCAATCCTTTATTTTCTTCTTGAACAAAACCACATTATGTTAGACACAAACAACAGGAACAAACAACAGAAATGATACATATTAATGCCTTCATCACAAACTAGCAGCATGGAGAAGATGTGTCTCAGTCTACATGGAGTTAACTAATGATTGTAGGGTTTTCAAATGCAAAAGAAAAATGATTAATATTTTAATATACACAAGTTATGAGGAATACAGGGCACATTTAAAGACTGAACTTTAATGCTTCCGTGTTACTAGCTAATAAAGAAAAGGAGTTCTTGAAAGGAAACTGTAAGAAGCAAATCAAGAGGCATTGTCACTTGACAGGTTACTTACATGCACAGAGGCCATTGGGAGTAAGACAGCATGAAAAATGTACAGGGGTCATTGAGATATGGCTCGTAATATATTAGTAAAATAAAAAGTATATGCACAAAATAAACTTTACCATGCAATAGTCTCAACACAAGGCAAATAAATCACATTAAGAAATGATAAACGTATTTTTTAAAAGCTTGGCAATTTTCTACATTATGCATAATATGAAGCATAGTTCTAGTATGTTCTAAAGAGTGTTCTTTTATGAAGTCCTGCAATAACATTTCAGGAAAATTAATAAAAATATATCTAGATATCACTGCAGTATATATCTGTTGACCATTTATAAAAATGTCAGTGAACCCAATAATGAAAAATATTTTTTTTTTTCTACGGGCTTTGGCTTAAAACTGACTTTACAACGACAAGATGTATGATCGTGAAAGTGTGTCTTGAAGAACACAATACTCTAATATAAAGTATGGAGGAAAGAAAAGCGGGACATTATTTTTCTTGTAAAGGAGAATATAGTTGCTTTTAATTATAAAAAGTAACTGAAATACTCTCCTCTTCATAAACCATATTTGATTTGCAGAATAATTTCATTTCTAGTTCCAGTAATTTCCCAATATATCACACCAAAATCTTGCTCTCAAATCATTAGCTAGCCACGCAAATCTTAGTTGACTATCAAGTATTTTACTAGGTCATTTCTCAGTACCCCAGCTCAGCCCCATCCTTAAGACAAAATTACATACTGCTAAACAATTTATTGAATTTTATACTAAGGTATAAGAGAAATACGTTCTGCTTTCTTGTAGGAGCAACATTGACATCTGGATTAGACTTCTCAGTTCCAAATTAATTATACTTATTTCAGATCCAATAGAAGAAAAGATCTGATTTTTATTCTGAGACAGATGCACTGAACGCTTGCAAAAGCCAGCATTGCCATATTTCTGACTAACAACACCAGACGTGAGAGAGTAGTTCAGAGAAGGTAAATTCACTACGACCTTAGTTAAACTCACGGGAGCACCATACCATTTCAGTGAACCTCTTTATATCCTATATTTGGCGTAATTTCCCAGAATATTACTGGGATCACCATTAATACCTCAAGGACACTAAGATCAATAAACATTTCTAAGAGAAATCTTGATTCCAATCTGTGCTTTTATTAACTTTTTTACTTCTTAGGGGGAAGGGGAAGCGTCAGATGGTATTCTGAGAAGAACAATTTCTTTCATGGTTATTTTGATAAATTTTACTGTTCCTTTTTCCGATTTTTGGCAAACACTGTGCTCTGACGAAAAGTGACTAACAGCACTGATGGTGGCAAGCACGAAGGCAGGGAAACCCCGTGACTCAAAGTGCTGTCAACCTCCAAAATGTACCCCCTACATCAAGACAGGAAGTCTGGACTACCTTCCTTTCACGGATTTAATTGATACAAAGTCTTTGAGCTAGTTTCGCTCCTGAAGTATTGCCTGTCCTTCTCCTACCTTGGCCATCCTCTTTCCTTTGCTTATTCTTTTATAGCACGCTGCGCTTAGTCACACTGACTATGTAGTTGCACTGTGAACTATATTAAGAAATGTATCTGCCCTCAAGAAAAACAACCAATGTTTTTTGTTGGATTGGTCTTCAGTTAATCAAGTTAACAGCATGGACATGCAAAGTTAAGCTGCTGCAACCGAAGGGAGTAGCCATGCTATGGGAATATATGCTGGGAGCAACCGGTAATACTTTTAAACCAGTATTGCCAAAGACTCTAAGTCATAAAATCCAGTTTATTCTCAACAGTTTTTGTTAAGGTCATATTTAGTAAAACATGGTTTAGTGCTGCAGCAGTGAAGTGGCAACATTAAAACAACCAGAATGTTCAACCAGCAAAAGGAAGGAAACAAGTTAAAGCTTTCAATCTCTACTTGTAAGGGTTTTCAGGGTAATGAGCAATTTTATATTTAACTGTGAACATCTTAAATGTAACGGTGATTTAAGGAGTATAAATGACAACTACTGTTCTTTGACTTTCTTAGCTTTTATTTTCCAAAGACTTTTAAGTAAACATAAATTCTGTAGTACTAATACATTATGAGCTGTGATATTGCACACAGATTGTACAGGTAAGAAGAAATGTGAAAATACATATTTATATTGTTTAATTTGTGTGCAAGAATGCAACTGAAAAAAACCCAGAAAGTAATGCAATATATAAAATACTTTCATTACACTGTATGTACAGGTATATCTTTTAATTCTTATAAAAATGTCTGCAAGTCTCCCAAGAGATGACAACAACGTATTTATCGTCACAGTATGTGATATCTATGCAAAAGCAATAGAAACAGTTTCAACACATTGAGTATTTTATACTAAAAGAAGAACTAAATTCCGCTCATGAACATAGGGGTCTTCCTTCTTTACTACTAAAACTAATGAATTTTGCTCTGTGAGGATCTCTTACTCTACACTTCTACTTTAAGAATTTTCTAAAAAAATTCAATTTTTCAGCAATCTAAACAGAAATCCAGAATTTAGGATTCAGGCAGAAATCACTGCAAGGAGGATAAACTTCCATGGTTTGTTCTATTTGGTAACTGGAAATAACACACTGACTAAGCAATGGCTCTTACTCCACTTCCACCCATAATGCTTCAAGAAAAATGCCCTTTCATGATGTTTTCACATATATAATCTATAACTATAAACACATATTAACAAGGCTGTAAAGCACAGGACAGTTATATACACAAAATACATACACACAAAATTCATATCCTTTTGGTTTCTAGTGCTCCTTTAAATATAAAAACCAAAACAATGTAAGCCTGTATTAGGATATATTATGATGCGTTTATTTTGTTGCAGCTTGCCTCTCACTGATAAAGCTATATGTTTAAATAGCAAAGAACAAGCAGAGTAATGTTGGCATAGTTAGAATTTTACTTGTATTTTCCTAAGTAAATCATTAGGCCTATATAACTCATTAGGTTTATATAACAGTGCCAGCTGAACAATTAATGGCAAGGTTTAGACTGTAAAAAATTTAACCTGTTAAAGATACTTGCATTTTTTTTCCCTACCTGCATTGTGCTTTGCCAAATATTTGTCTTTATACTGCTTTTTTTTCTTTCCAAACCAAGTACAGCTGGCCTGTTGCTCCTGTTTGGTCTTCTCCATGGCAATGCAAGCAACTCGCCTGGCATATGGAAGAGAAAAATTTTTTTCATTGTAATCAATGTATTCTTAAAAAGCCACACAGAATAAATTAGAAAAATAAGACTTCTTAGTAGTACAAGAGTAAAATAAAACTTTTCAAAACCCATTTTTTGATGACTTAAAAGCACTTTAGAAACAGAGATATTTTGATATAAAGAATATCTTCTTAGTATAGATCATTAAAGCTACCAGATCAAGTGAGCATGGGAGGAAGGATAGCTACTAAAATGGCTGTAGATGACTTTGCAGTGGATTAGACTTGAAGAGCATGAGGTCTGAAAAGACTACTAAAGTCTAAATTACTTCAGAGCAAGTTGTGTTGTGGAGCTGTTTTGAGGTTAATCTTTAGGATGAAGTATCGCAAGTGTTCCTGTTGCAATGTATACCAGTGTCTCCCTTATGTCAGGGCTTGCAAGGGAGCTATTGAGGTGGGACGAAATGTCTTGTCTACCTCTGTTTCTCTTCTAGCAAAATCTCCTTTAGCCAGTCCAGGTGGCACAGGTGCTGTTAAACCCTTTACTGCACTCTAATTCTTTTACGTAGCACATCTTGTATGAAATATTTTAGGCTAGATTATCCATACTGATAAACTTTCTTGAGTTATGGCCATAACTTTCACAGCTCAGGATTTGCTTGCCAGCATACATTTAAAATATTTACTAAACAGCTTCTGCAAGGGGTTGTTTAAAGGCTCTGAATTGCTTTTGCATTACCTGGTGCCATTGCTGTTCATTGAATCTGTCATTCAGCAATCTTTGCACTGTGATTTCTTTCTACTTTTTGGCGTTCACATGAAAAATGAAAAGGAGAAAAAACTCCCAAACTCCCTCAATGACCTTTGTGCTTGATGTCTTGCTTATTCCTGCAGCACTTGCATGTAAGCAGTACTAAGGAAAATAGTATTTAGAACCTAAAAGAGAAATTAATTTGATCCCCCTACATAAACAATTTGTATGTAACCTTCAATCCTGGTTTCCTATAGTATATCAGAAAGCACAAACAGTGTTTACTAACACCGGTGTTTATTTTTTTAATGTAACCACACACATGATATTGCATGCAACCCTTACCGCTATGCATATACGAGGGGGAAAAAAAAAAATCAATGCCACACAAACTGAGGCAATATATAACTTTTTTTTTTAAAGAAAAAATGATACAAAAACTAGCTATGCAATGATGAGAAGCGTGAAAGACAAATAAAAGCAAAGCTAAATTAATTTTTATGGAAAACTTAAATCATACCATTCTTGAAGTTCAGGAGAAGGAATAAGACCTGCAGTACCATTTTTGGAGTTCTCAAGTTTACCCTGCCACCAGTTGTGATCATCTTTGCTAATAATTTGGATAATATCACCAACTCGGAATCTGATGCCAGCTTCTTTGCAAGGAATGAGGTCATCCTTTGCTGGATCATATTCAAATTGTGCTCTTACATATATCTATAAAAAAGAGTTCACAAAAGACACTGCAATATTATTACTGGTACAGTATTAAGAGTAACAGGTGAAAATCTGATCTGTGCATGTAGCTACACATACTGTTTGCAACAAGCAAGGGAAGAAACAGAATGGCAAAAGCATAAGTGATAGCTGAAAATGAAAGAGAAAAAAAAAACCAGCAAACAATGGAGACATATGATGTTATTTTGAAAGCTCATGTCTTCTACATACTATAAAACCTAAACAGCAAAAATGAACACACATAATGAACTCATAGAATCCCTCAGATCAATATTAACTATCATGAATAATTACAGACAAAAAGCCAGCAGCTTACAACTTCAGCTGTACTGTGCTTTCCAACTGAAGTCCCACAATATGTTTTAAAAATTTGTATGACAGGAAATTTTATTGGACAGTATAAAGGACTTCGGCTATATTACTGATCTTTAGTATTTATACTGAAAATTTAGTACCTTTTTTTTCAGATTAAATAGGAAGTCCTGTGTTGCACCTATCGCATATAGTTACTTGGGAGGAATCTGGGAATTCTCTGCATGGGTTTTTCACTAAAAGTCTATTCCTGTTAAAATGAAAACTAACCATTTGAGTAAGCTATCCTCTAAAGGACATTAATAGAAAGAATTCAGATTCTGACTTCAAAATTTAAAATAATACACCAGTCCTTCCTTTGTGTGCTAGTGAGGACTCAACCAGAGAAAATAAAAGTAATGTCCAGTTTTGGTTGCTAATTACAGCCCTGATGCTTCCAAGGATCTTAAAACTGGAATTAAATGTCACGTCCAAGATGGGTCATTTCTACAATTTATGGACTTCAACCATCACCCTATAGCATCTCAGGGAGCTGTGCATATTCTACTGTTGATTTTCTTACTAAAAATTGACTAGATTTTTTAAAAATAAATTTACATTGCAAAGCAATATACTTCATTTAAACTGTAACAATTTTCAACTTTGCTCAAATTCTGCTCCCAAAATAGCTCTAACTATGCAGTGTTAGCACTATTCATGGCACTTTAACAAGTTCGTTTCTATAGTAATCCAATTGAAACCCAACATATGAATAAATTAACTTAAAATGGCTAATCACTACTATCATGTACCTGATGCATTTTTATCTGTTTACAGCGAGAGCATCAGATGATAACACCAATGTAGAACTCAACTTTTAATATATTAAATCTGACCCTTGTTCTGCTGTGCTTTGAGTGTGTGACTTCAGACAAGCAACCCAATTTCTTTGAATCATCTGAAAAATAGGATATTTTGAAACCAAATACGTTTATTTAGTAATTGGCTTTCTATGAAGTAGTCCGTATTGAACCAATCCCTTACTTCCCCTCAACCTTATCTAATATAGGTCTAGAAACGTAAGCAGTACTTTTAGCATGTAGAAACTTCCTTGCTTTTCAAGTCCCTGCTCCAGTCTGAGTTATTATCCACTGTATATTGGCAGTTTGTGGAACGTTACAGACTTCCTTACAGTTTGCAATATATCTGGTATCTAAGCCCTTACTGTCTTCAGGATGACAAGCTATCAGAAAATTATGTTGGTTCAATGGGAAAAGACTCTTGAAAAAAACAGGCAACTATAAATGGTGAAAGTACAAGGAACACCATTATTCTGATATTGCCCTGAACAAAGTATCTTCTCCTAGGAAAAATACCTTATGAGAGGCAAACGAAAACCTAACACAACAGTTAGGTTGTGTTAGGAAGGTCTTTCATGGAGCCTTTCCAGGACTACATTCAGGCAACTGGAAACTTCAGAAGACAACAGAAAGTTGAGAGAATCATATAGCTATAAGCTTTAAAAAAGGGAAATGAAGTGAGACCAATCCATTCTTATAATAGATATTCCAGCCATCTCAACCAGACAGTAGTATAAAAAGATTTTCAAATACAACAGGCCATGAAGTTCATTGGCTCTTTTGAATCAAATTGCAAGATTTACTACTAAAACCCTTGGTAGAGAAAGAGGTTGAGTCCATGGTTAACGATTCAGAGGCAGATTCTGGAAGAGCTATATATAAATGGAGCAGTTACTGAAGATGAACCACAAATCACTTGATGGTATGTGTTGATTTGGAGACTGCAGTAAAAAAAAATAATCTTAAAATTGCAAAGGGAATCACAGGGAATCCTCTGTAGAGCCCTTAAGGGCTTTCTTGGAACTTGCTGGAGAGGGAAGATCTTTCTTCAGTTCATGATGACATGTACTGCCATCAGGTCAAAGTAACAAAGTTAAGGGAGGTTACTGAATCTGGGCCTTAGGACTGAAAATTTAAGAGGCTATCTTCAGACTTATCAACCTTTAATAGAAACTGTCCTTAATGTTTTTTATTTGAAGAGCTTTGTTAATGTTAATAGTTAGTAATAGATCAACTTAAGCTTTGGAATCTTTGTCAGTACAATGTTTTAGAGTAGAGTATTAGACACATGCCCTACTAGTCTCCATTTCAGCTAAAATATAAATCTGAGCTTTCCTCTGAGAAATCTGCACAGGCCACTACACACCAGTAAGTTTATTTATGAATTCTGAACTAAAACAACATCTCCAGTTAAATTTACAATGACTTTGTAACTCTCGCACACGGACACATGAAAAAAAATGCTGTTTTGAATCAGCCACAAACAAATGAGTTAAAAAGAAAAATGAAAAAAACAAATTTTCCAAGCTTAAATGTTTTAGTCCAGCACATACAGAATGTGAGGGGGAAAAGATAAGCGGGGATGTTCACTAGCAGCTAAGTTTACAAAAATTCCCATGGAGGATATCTATTCACCTGTCGTCCTTTTGGTTGTGTTGTCGATGGCAAGTCCTGCAGAATAAAGCCAACCCAGGAGAAGAAATTTTCATTTTACTTTTTAAGGGTATACAACACCATTTGTTAGTGATTCATACTACATTACACTAAAATGGTAAGTCAGACAAAAGTATAAAGCGTTGACCCATGTTTAGAAATATTTTTTTTTCTTAAAGAAAAATCAAATCCAGGCTGTTTAGCAGCAAGCTGAAGAAAGCAGGTAAAAAGTTAAAGCAGATAGGGAATGTGCTTTTTAATAAATAATTCAGCATCTTCAACACAAAAGCACTGTCAAGTGAAAGAGGCTATTTATGTGAATGCCTTTTCCACTTAATACTTAGTCTTGTTTTTAAGAGAAGGATGGATATTATAAATATGAAAAAATTATTAAAAATGTATATTATGATTAATTGTGCTGAGGAATAAGATTATAACTAATAATCATGTTACAAATTCAATTTAATCCACAAAAAGTTCTTAAATTTTTCATCCACACAATTATTTTTCTTTGTATTAATTAATAAGCACTTTACCTTGTAGCAACTAATTTCTAAGTTGTAATTTTTTTAATAGTTAAAGGAGTAATTACTTGGTTTTGGGGGGTTTTTCAGCTAGTCCCATGAACTCGTGATATTGACAGCACTCTTACTGAAGGAACTTGCATGTACGGTTACCACATTGGTCCAAACAATGACAAATGATAAACAACACAAATTTTAACATTAATGTACTTTAGAAAAACAGGAGATCAACAGCACCTTTCTACCTGAAAACATACAAAACAGAAGTACTTTGTGTTAAAGATGTGATGACAATAGCTCGGTTTGTAGTGCAGTTTAAAGCCGCTTCCTTTCGCTTTTCATATCCAGGCAAGGCTCATATGTCACAACGTATGTGCACGCACCACGACAGCAGAGGGCACACCAATTCGTTAACTCAGATAGCGGAAACCAGCACACGTTCCACAGGTCTCTCAAAACACAAAACTTAAAAGAGTCTAAAATGTCTTGAAATACCAACTGCACGGTTACTCTTTCTTCAAACACTGCTTCCAAAGTTCAGGATGGAAATAAAACTTCCACTGTACACCTTTGCTTGGTTTTGAGGAAACTGCTAGCAATGATTTAAGGATGACTGAACTGTCACGTTACAGTTATTAACATTTAATTCACTATATCGCTTTGAAAAGAAGAATATGTTGGAAAAAACCCTTAAAAAAAGCAAATGGGGAGTTACATATGTAATAACCTTGGTTCTATCAGCAGGACAAAATTTTCCACTGACCACACGATAAGTATAACAGTAATGGCAGATGAGCACCAACAAAACTTTCACACTTTCTCTGTGTGGAACTGGAAATCTTACCGAAACAGAATTGTTAGTGCTGCTATGACCATTAGCTGGGGACTGTCTGGATGTAGAGGGGGAATCTCTCTGAAATAAGACACAAGGTTCATTAACAACACAACACTGTCACAGGAACACAGATATACTTAAAAGAACAGTTACATCCACAGCCTTATAACCATTTGCTGAGCTGCTTCATCTGTGAAAGTTTCCACACTACAAACTCCGTAAATCTGAAGTTTTTCCATAGTTTAAGGTTCAGGTTTGACATTTTGACGTGTCCTAGGTAATAATTATTTTCATATTGCCTTTGCAATCAAACAGCTTCTTAATTACTGAGTATCTGGGACTTCTTAGATCTCATGTGGCTGACAATGCTAAAGGCCATTAGTCATACTGGTGTCTTTGTTAAAGCTAATTACCTGAAAGTTATATGCTAACACTTTGAACAGAATGAGGCACATATTCCATTTTAAACATGCTTCTAAATCTTTTCTCAGCTATGTGGTGGAGGTCAGTGTCGATTAGTTTCTATGCTGTAAGATGCATCTCTATGCAGTGTCTCCGAGACACTGAAGCTAACACATGAGATGGAAGTTGGATGCTTTCTTCTCCATCCTCACCCATTTTACAGGGTACTGAGGTGTTTTTTCCCTCCAGTATTCTTACAGGCTTATAAACATTAAACTTTGCCAAATTAAACCACTTTAAAAAAGCCACCTCTCTTGACTCAGACTACCAGCGTGGTCCTACACTTCCGTGAGGAGATAGCAGATGCAGGGTGCATACCGGGAAATTCTACAGAAAGGATAACAGGAATTTCTGACTGGGTCTTGCAGAGGCAAGGAAGTCACTTGTAGAGCAATCTTCTTCACATGCCATTTTGGTTGTACAGTACTTCAAACAAGAATTGGAGCTAAACTTTTCATGCAACAACATTAATCAGGTAAAGGTCCTCTACTAATATTCTCTAACTTATACTAATTATGCAATAGCACTCAGCTGTTTAAAGGCATCAAGAAAAGTTAAAATGACAGGCAATACTTTATCACTCTTGCTGCCTGTATGCTTGATGTGCAAACTCCTTTACAACTTCACTTTTTTGTGGATTAATTATATATGATTTCATAGAAAGTTCCATGTACAGCTATCTACATGCTTGCTTTGATTTTAACACAGTTGAGGACTGATCTGACATTATTATGGCTGTAAAATCACTGTGGTTCAAAGTATGTAGGTCTGTATACTTCTGCTATATGCATAAGAACAAAATGCTCATTTGGCTCTCAGTTACTTGGAACGTATAACAGACTGCGAGAAATCAGCTTTCATTCTATTTAAAAAATTGCTCCAGCATAACACGTTTCAAATGTTCCAATGACATTACAGACAAAAAAAAAAGAAAAAGAAAGAAGAAAAAAGAGAAGCCTAAAGGAACCAGTATTCCTTTTTTTTAGTGTATGGGATTATCAGCATCACCTTTATCAAATAGCAGCTAGGAGATACTTCTCTCCAAAAAAAGCAGTGACTTCCTTCTTTCATAAAGAGAGTTTCTGCTTGCTCTACAATTCTGTCTCTGCCAATTTCTCATTTTCAAGAAGAGGTGAAAAAGTAAAGTAAGTAGCTGTTTTTAAAAAAAAACAACCATAGTTTGTTAAGATCTGCATAGCCAGTGATGGTTTAGCAAGGGAAAAGTTTGGAAAGTGATGCAAGCACCCAAGTCATGTGGAGAAAAACAAGTTTAGAGCAACCTGGAGAATGCCAGCATTTCTGGACTCTCTTGAAGGCTTCTCCTTTTGAAAGAAATTTTCTTGGGTTGAGAATATTTAGATTTGTATTCCTCCAACAATTCTCAACTAAAGACAGCATATTACTCAAAGTAAATGTTCATCGTAACATACTGAGGAAAAGACATAATTTCCATGCTATTGTTGATTTCAGAGCTTTGAGAAACTAGTCTATTAAGCTAGTCAAGAGGCATATATACAATTTTTAAATAAGTAGGCAGTTCAGCCACAATTTCAAAGGCATTTAGATTCTTAGTTTCCTAGGCACCTGGTCTTTCTCTCAAAAAATATCAGACTCAAAAGTTAAGAGAAAAACTGTATTATGCACAGTCCAATCAGACAAATCGATGAGCAGAGAGATCCTTGTAGAATGCTAGGACTGCTTAGAACTAAACTGGAAAACTTCAGCTTCGGTTGTGAGTTTGTTTCTTCAGTAAATCAGAAAAAGCCCTAGTTCTGGGGACAAGAGCAGAGAAGCACTTGGATGATCCAATGATTCTGAGTAATGTTGAAGTGTTATCACTGTATTTCAGTATAACTTGACTACCTAGACTTCCAATTCTTGTTGAACCCCTAGCCAAATAACAAAACGGCAGTGTTTTGGATTCTTGCTCTTCAGTTCAAGCACCACAGCTGAAGCCTTTGAGGAAACAATCACAATTATTTCCAAATGATGACAAAGCTAGTTTCCTGTTGATTCCTTGTTCTTAGGTGTGGATTATGAATGATAAATCAATACATTTGAGATGCAATCCTATAGCAGATGTCAATCATGTCTACCAGATGTGGCCCAATCAAATTAGATACCAACAAGAACAGCTAGATTAATGATGCTGTTGCCAGATCCACAAAAAATAAAAAACATGGAGAGTTTCCAAAAATCTGAAAATACATTTCAATTTTAGTCTTGCTGAAGGAACCTTTCCGGAAGTATTTTTAATACAAATGTAAGAAGCTTCAAGACTGTAAAAAGTCTTGTAGTCTGAGTACTAACAGAAACTTTGCAAGGCTAAAGGAAAAAATCCAGGATGATTACCACCAGGTTTTAAAATCTCAGATATATAAAGGCTTTTCTTCTTAATGAAACAACTTAAGTGTTTCACAAAGACAATCTGAAACACAATAGATGTTTATAAGGAAAGTTGTTTGTTAAAAAGAAAAAAAGTACTTCCCTTACCATTCTCAGATATCTGACACTATAAAAAGTTACTCAGGGTGTTTTGTCAGTATGAAGTAAGAATGCAAGTGTAGCTAAAGCAAAATGCTTACTCAATTGGATAAAGTACTAACTGAAATGTATAAACAGTATATGCAGTCCCAAATCATAAGAAGAACATGTTGCAATATTTACTTAAGTTCATATTTATGTAAGTCTGTAATTTCCTGGGTAGCTGAACCAGTAAACACAACATCCTGGCCACTGTGTTATCTAGATAGCCGAGTAACTCAGGCCATTTGCCACACCAGTGACTGAACAGGTCAGCTCACAGTAGATCAGCTGATCAAATTTTTATCCAAGGGAATTCATAATTATTATGTTTTCATGCAAAATCTACACGAAATAGAAGGCCTGGTAACTGAATGGAAGGCATGGGTGCGGTAAAAGCTATAAATCCCTAAAAACCTGAAATTATTCAGTTGAGATTTTGGAAACTGCGCAGTGACACTGAAATACCGTTACCTACTATAGGGACAAGACTTCCCTAAATATGCAAAAGTGGTGTAATATTTAGAAAACACCACCACAACACTTCTCTTAAATGCCCACAAAAGAAAAAAAATATGGCAAGTGAGATGCAAATCTCAATTATTTGAAAAATAGGTTCCCCTCAAAAACCCCCCTCCATACCTTTGTATATAAAGGCATGTAGACAGATTGGATATAAAAGGCAGATGACCTCTGATGCTACTAATATTTAGTTTTTCTTTTTCAAAATTAACAAGGTATTTTGCAATCCAATGACGTGATCATGGTAGAAGCCTTAAAAAAAAAAAATTATTGATTCTGTTTTATATTCCTCTTCTGGTGGACAAACATAAATTTATAGAAATATCTAAAATACTGCCAAAAAATACCTTAACTAGTAAGATTATACTAGTGAAGACCCAGTATCTCTGAATTTATCCTGCTAGAGAGCACTGGAAGCAAGCATTTTTTGTCTTAGTAATGTCATTCAACATCCCTTTTAGCCTTTATCAATGGTTAAGAATTTGATTCATCATTTGAATCATAATTCTGAAAAATTCTGCAAAAGAAATTCTCTCTGTACCAAAGGACTAGTGATGCTTTAATAGGATGATTTAAAAATACTGGCTTATTGTGTATGTTCATAATAGTTGACAAACTAGGCAGTCATAGATGTGACCAAGCAGGTGGAATAGACTCAGGCACCTCTGATTAAATGAATGCTAAATACCACAAAGTGTGATAATTAGACATGCTTATTTTCCATCCCCTCTGTCTTTCATCACACACTCCTAGTTTTGCTGTTTTTTTCCAAAGGAAGATGAGTCTATTAAAAAAAATAGTCATGAAGAACCTAAGGTCACAAAGTTAAGGAAAAGGCAGGAACTGGTACTACTAAAATGATTATCTAATGGTATTAATTTAAAGCTGTGTGCTGAATTATTTTCTCTAAATAATCATCCTCCTAACAGGTATATAATTTCAGTAGTTTCTTCATTTTAATATTGGGAAGTGAGATATCTTTTATTATTACTGCTATTTACAGCACAGAAGTCAATACAGAAATTTGTCAGCATACTCTAGAATTTCCATTTTAATTTTTTTTAAAGCCTTTGCATTTAATGAAAAACTTCTGCTTTCATATTTACACCTTTTAAGGAAATAGGCCTCATAGGTGAAAATTCGTCAAAACTTGTACCTCTAAAACCTTTTAGTTCTTGTTGACTTCTATTAAAAGTATAGAAGGCAACCAAAAAGCAGAATTTTTCTTTTTCTTTCAGATTGTTCTGACAATCACAATAGCAGTTTCTGTGTGTTCTAGCATCTGCTGAGACACAAAAACAGTTAGGGTGAAATCACAACTCTAATTAAGATAAGGTGCTTGACTTCAACAGGAATTGAGATTTTGCTCTCGGAATTCTAATTCGGGAACTGTTTACGCAGTTAAGCATGTGGCACAGAAAGACTGGCATCATCTAGATACTGCATATGCCATCTGTATGCTTAAATTGGAACAGTATCTCTCAAGTAGCCATTTTCCACAATTTAATTCCCTTCAGTTGCAATCTGGAACATAACTTTGTGAGCAGAAGGGAATTAAACGTTACTGTGCAAAAAACCGTAATACCAAGTTTCTAGTTCAACAAGAGATAACTCGAAATCTGTTTTTCTTCTATAATGACAAATACCATTTTTTCATGGAAACATAATATTAAGCCACATGTAACTGTTACAGACAACCACCACAAATTTACCTCAACAGGGTTATACAGAAACAAATTCTTCAATTAACCCTTAACAGCCCAAAGCAGTTAAATAATGTTTAATGCCTAAAAAAGAGGATTGTTCTTCAGTTGTGGAACTTTAATAGACTTCCTGGAGAAGGAGTTTAAATTGTAATTTTTTTTCCAAGGGGCTTCCTAAATGCATAAGTTGAGGATCCCCTTTCCTATTTTTTTTTTAAATAGGCTGTAAAGAGTTAGTTAAGGTGCTGATGAGATGAATACGAAGGCAGGGCTGAGTAGGTAGGTGGGACCTACTCGTGTTCCGTTATCTTTGTTGTAAAATTGGTGTGCGTGATCTAATAGGACAGGCAGAAACAATTTCCCAGAAAGCAGTAACATTCAGCCATCAGCAGGCAGTTAGTTACAGGACTGAGGGAGAAATAGGATGGTTCATTAAATTCATTACCTCACAGGATGAAGACTGCGTCCGATAACTTGGCACAATCTTAAAGGTGATACTTCCACGCATTTCCCGCTGCAAAAAGAGAAGCACTTCTTTAAAGACTAAGACATTGAAGATAAAATCTCCAAATCACTAATGAAGGATTGCAAGGAAAGCGTCATAGTTTAAGAGCAGCAGTATGTTTTGCTAAAGTAAATATTCAGAAAAGCTAAAATGTTATGGCTAATTTGCCTTTTCAGTTATAAACGAAAATTTAAATAATCCCTCATTAATGTAAAGATAAACATACAAATTAGTTTGTTTGCCTGACCAGTTTTCGAATGCCTAGAACCTACAGATGTATTTTAAGGTGAGAGATTCAGAGATGTGTAGGTTTCTTCCATGTCCATCTTTTCTTTGTAGCTATATTCTTGTGACCCGCTGACTCTTTGCTACTAAAGGGACATTTTCTTCCCTTTCATACATGTTAAATAGCAAAAGCATATTCACAGTTTCTGGAAGGCTGCATGTTACTGTACTAAAGGTAGAAATGTAAGAAACAGTCTTTTGTCAGAACACAACATGGGGTCTGCTAGTTTGCATTTAGTATAGTACAAGAACATTCATAACAAGTAGTAACCGCAGAACAGCAGCAGATTGTGACAACATATTTGCCCAGCCATATTTTCTAAAATTACAGTTTGATTTTAAGTGCGACTACTTGTCTGACAACTGCAGGACTTGATCCGGGCAGAAGGGTATGCAGATCACTTCAAGTGATCTTGGAGTTTTTTCCCTTTCTCTCTTTGGCTGGCTTATTGTCACCAAAAAAAAATACTGTTTGCCTGGACTGGCTTAAGCTTGTCTATATAGTTCTGCACACAACAAAAGGATTAGTTATATCATCCAAGATCCTAAGATTAAAGCTGCATGCAGAAAAATTTGCAAGTGTTCTGGAATATCAAACTGACTCTACTAGCAAGGCCTAAGATGGAGTTTTCCTGCAAAAAGCCAGACTGTCTGAGCTCAAAACATTTTTTTCTTTGTAACTTCAATAAACAGGTTGCCTGAAGAGGCACCTGTCCTGTCACATCTCTCTCCTTGGATATTTTCAAGGCTTAACCAGACAAAGCCCTGAGCAACCTGGGCTGAATTCAATATTGACCCTGCTTTAAGCAGGAGATTGGACTGGAAACCTCCTGAGGTTACTTCCAACCTGAATGGTTCTATGATTTCTGGTCTTTGTATTTGTGTAGCAATTATACCAATAGTCAAGAAAAGTTTCTTGTATCTCATAGTATACTCAGTGACTACACTTGGTGTAGACTGAAGATTTAAAATAAGGGCATGATCTTTACAGACTAACTTGGGATGAGTAATAGGAGGAAAGCAGTATTTTTTCTGTTATGTCTACTAGAGACAAGAGAAGAAACTCCTGCATTTCAACAAAGGAAACTCAGACATTAGAAAAAGCTTTCTAAAATGTAGAAGAATCAACTGCCTGTAGAGTTTGGGAAATGTCCATTACTTAAGTTGTTTTAAGAGCTGGTCAGACATACATCTGTCAGGAATGGTTGGGTGTCAATAATATTTTCTGTGGGACTAAATGTAATAAACAAAACGACACCTGGAAGTGCCTTCTACCAATCCTGGGTATAATGTGCAAAAAAGCCACTACTGAAAACCAGAGGAGAGCCTATAGAAGGCTTTAACAGCTGAATACAGGAAGACTCTGTGTTACTTGCACATGCAGGCTATCAGGAACAGAAGAAAAGGGGGAAGTCACAACTGAACTACATAAAAGTTTTGTCAAAATACGACATGCACTTTTATAAAAAGCATGAGAAGAATTTCAGGCACTTACAAGCATTTTTTGTAGTTGTTCTACAGTTTGATTTGCCACACTGATTCCATTTATTTCTCGGATTTCATCCCCTACATGTAGCGTACCTGCGGAGTTAACAAAACACACAATCACCTTCAGACATGTTTTTACAAATTGAGATAATTGTAAGACAGTACTGATATTCATACAAAGGCATAAATATAAAAGAATGTTAAAATAAGTTTTTGGGCTAGATTCAGAAAAGGACTTTGGTAGCTATCTATTAGCTGCCAAAGATTATGAATCTGTCTTTCAGAATGCAGTCAATACATCAGCATGAGATGACCGGGCACCCTATAAAGTACATGGGGAAAATGCTAGTCCCTTCCAAGGACACTGTAAAAACCCACACACTGAAGAGAAAGTCACCTGCAACTAGTCAGTTGGAAATGTTAAACAGTGATATTTGAGCAGTATTTTATCAGATGACTACCTAATGCAGCTTAGCTTCTGGACGTAGTATTAATTTTATTTGTCAGACTGCAGTATTTTTTCATTTCTCTGATTTTGATTTGCCATAGTTACAGTACGCATTTTCTGTATGTAAACTTGACTTCAGCTTGACTGTAAATGATTGGTGTGACTACCTACTATGTCAGATGATGAAACAAATATGTAGTTAGCTTAGGCAAATCATAAACTGATCTGCTGAGGCTGGGATAGGAATGGCATGCTACAAAGTGGCACTAAGACACTACCAAAGCTCAACAGGGAGGAGGCAGTGAATGAACTAATTATCTTCAGGATTAGAAGCAATCTAGGAGGCTCTTTTTGGATAATAATTCCTTACTTGAGTAGCTCAAGCCCACCAAATTCTCTAGCAGTTCTCTAAAAAAACTTCCATGGTTTATTATTAGCCAGAAGATGTTTCTCATATATAATGAGACATAACAAGACCATTTACTTCACATGTATTTCTTTCTGCTGTATGATTTAAATTATTTGTGCAAGTATCCTTCTCTAAGTAATGTACCTAATAAAATGACTGGACCTAATATAATTAACCTTACTTGGACAACTAGCAACTGGCAAACACTTCCTAAACTAAAACATATCTATGGAAAATTACCTGAAAAAGATCAATCAACGAGAATCCTGAAAAATCCTTAAAATTCTTTTCCTGAACCAAAATAGCCAGTTTTTCCAAAGAATACCATGCAAGCAAAATTTTCAGCTGGACAAATGTATGAAAATCAAACTGCTAAACACAAGTCCAGCCTGAACCAAGGAGAAGAATTCTGAAAAGCTCTATTGCTACGATTCCCTTTGAGCTCTCTTCTGCAAAACAGAAGCTCATTTGGCTGTGTTACAGCAGAGAGCCCAAAGTTTACAAAAACTTTCAGTACTCTCAAGAGTAAGTCCTGCAGCTACATTAAATGCTTCAAATGGGAGCTGATGTGCCGACAGTGAAATAATAAAAAAAGGACTCATCACAATTCTTCTTCATCTCTTCAGTGAAAAATTTATCACAATTAATAGTTTACTGAACATGAATGCAACAGTCCTGCATTTGAATTTCAAATTAATCTACTCACATATGAAATATTAATGACCAAATCTCTAGTGAAACACTTTGAAAGTTCAGTTTTGGCAGACGGTCTCAGGAAGGCATTCAATACCCAATTCTAAAAAAAATTCTAAAAAAATGAGGCTCTGTGTTGACTGTATCATGCCAAATTAAATTGTGTTTGAAGTGAGTGTGTTATTAAGCAATAATACTGAATCACAAAGAGCATATGCCCTGGAACAGTATAAAGATTGATTCTTTGGTGTTATTTATTCAAAATACAAATGTGATGGCATTAAATACTGGAATGAGAATCAGACTCAGTAATATCCTTGTACCAAATAACTTCAATAGTCCACTTCAATAAAATCCGCTCTTCTGGAGCATTTCCCATTTCTGTTACTGTGGCAGCAGTGAATATTTTTCTGTTTCTGCCTGGAATGGAGCAGTATACATAGAAGTTCAGAATAAAGCATGGACTTTAGCAGTAGATCGCTATTTTGTTTTGGGTGGTGGATGCATTGATAAACTACAGGAAGACATTTTCAACCTGCGGCAAGAGGCTTTTATTATTTGCAGAAACTTTTTGCTCATTATAAATACTCTTGTTCAAAAGGAGTGTTCTTGACATCTTTGAACAGTAAGTCTTCTGTAACACCTGTAGCTCCCATGATCCCTATGCCTAATCATCAAATTTTTGCTCGTTTTGGTTCCTTTTCTATTGGCAGTGCAGTGTTTATTTGGAACTTAAGCTATTAATGACTTATGGATGTATAACACATCTGTAATAACAAAGAATGGATGCATTTCTGGAGTGAATGATTTCCTTCTCTGTCTTTGCAAGCCAAAGCGAAGATAGTTTTAGGAAGTATGTGCTCTTGCTCTGCACAGATGTATGAGAAATCCTACCCTATTAGGAAGAACACAGAAAAATTCTTGGAGTCTCTGTTTGGAAACATGTTTTGTAGCCAATAGGAAATTAGCTTGGAAAGTGAAAGGCTGTGAATGTATAATAATATTTTTACTAAGTCATCACATGTATTTTGTTAGAACTGAATAAACCTTATCAAGGGTACCAATGTTTTTTAAAAAAATATAAATCAGTATGAGTTTTACATCAAGTCACTTCGAGAATGTTGCACAGAAAATGTACAACTGCTATTTTTCTGGTGAGTTAAATAAGCAGCCCCTCTCTTCTTTGGATTTTTTTTTTTTAAATGCCATTTTGAGACCTCTTCTTAAATGCATTTTAAGGATGAATTCACATTTAAGCACGTATGCTCCAAAACCAGTCAGCAGCAAAAACTCTATGGGTTAAGATACTGAGAGCTGCTGAAAACTCAGACTATATGCAGATTCCTTGAAAATAATATTTACGGTATGAGTAGTCGAAACAGAATCCACAGGTAAAAAGCTAATGAACAACTGAGCAAGGTTAAAGCACAGATACAAAGGTGAAAGTCAAGACATAAATTAGAAGCTTGAGATCTAAGATACAGTTCATTTATTTATCCTAAAAAAGCAGACAAGTCAACAGAAAGACAATTTTTAATGATGGAAACTGGTGTTTAATTTGCATGGAGCTGAATCCTCTGGAAGGTCCAAGTAGACAGCATCTTTACAAGCCTATCTTCCTACTTCAACTTCCCCACGTTTTGAATAAGGACAACTATAATCAGCAGGACTGGATACAGCTGGCATAGAGACAGGAGGCAGACTTTACAGCAGCTACTATTTTGTGATTGGGAATTGTGCAGTTTGCACTTCATATTGTTAGACCTGAAATTATATAGTACCTGTAACCCTCCCAGTAGATCTATTATCTAGTCATTGCTGTTATTGTCTGGCAGTTTTCCACACAGCAAGAGGAGAGAGCAGAAACAACAACATAAAAAAAACCCCAAACAAATAAAAGCCACAGACCCTGTCAGTAGGATCCAAAGACATGTTGTGCACAAGATCACTGCCAACTTATGTTTGCATTGTTCTACTCAGTGAAAATATTCTAAATATAGGTATGTTGAATGAAACAGAGAAGCTAAGAGGCATCTGGAGCACCAGCAACATTACAAACATTAAAAAAAATGACAATACTACAGAAACACTGAAGTATAGTTCATTTTCAAACTAAACCTGCATGCAGAAGAGCTACCTTAGATGAAGCACATACAGATTGGGATAAATTTCCCAAATTTTCAGAAATAAGAGACACTGTATAATTAAAAATAAAATAACAGAGTTCTAATGGGCATAGTTGAACTCTTTTACTCAGTTTTAACAGGTTTAAAAAGTTTTATTACCCCCATTATGGAACACAGTCATGTGAAACAATGCTCTCCAGAGGATCACCACTACCTAAGTGCAGCTGGACGAAAACCTTCTTCCTGCAAATCTTAGAGCAATCTCCTTTTAAAGTTCACTTTCAGAAGCCAAATAAATTTAAGTTCAGAGGGTCCTCTAAAGGAATACAGAAGTCTACATGAATTGCATCTTTGCTTGTATGAAAAGTTTTATCTTTCCTGCTTCATGACAGGTTTGATCATCTCAAGGAGCCAAAGTGAATATATCAGGGAAAGGGATTGCTGTACTATTTGCCTGTTGCATGTTTTGTCTTCCTAATTACTTGTTCCCATCTTCCTTTCAAATAGAAAAGTAGAGTAGAAGGAAATTTGTTCTAATGAATAATGAAAATTTTTGTGTTCATCAAAAGAAAAAAGATGGCAAACTGGAAAAACTATGGTAACCCTTTTAAAGGTGCAATCCAAACTTGCAGCTAAAAACCTACTAGGGAAGTTTATGTATTTAAAGTAGGACAAAACCCAGCTATTTTTTGACATCTGATCTGCACACAGAAAATGGAAAAAAGGAGTACACTGGAGATGAGAAAAGACCCATGTCTGCAGGGTTTGCTACAGTCGTGAAAACTGAAAATAAAGATCTAAGTTCTAGGCACAAGAAATATTTTTATTTCACAAATAGTTTTTATGAGCCTCAACATGAAAAGTACAAAGATCCTCAGGAATTGCATGAAAATATAGGAAGAAATTTAATCTTTTTGTTGAACAAAGCTCTTTCATTTTTACAAGGAAAATTACTGTAACTAGTCTAAGGATTTTTTTTTTTTAAACAGAGAATTAAGTACAGCTTCAGAAATTATTGGCATTTCAATCTCTTACTGAGCTATACTCCCCTTATCCTAATTAAGGCCTAAATGAAACATAGTGGCCCTCATCTCAAAACACGTGAAGACATCTGCAACTGGAACGTAACAAAGGCAGTTAACAGGACTCCATCCAGATACAGATGTAGACTACTAAGGAATAGTAGCAATCAAAACACGGAGCATGCACTGTTACATGGTTTGTATAAAATGATCTAAATAATTGTGTTTGAAGACAGAACTATTTATGACACGATTACCTTGCCGGTGAATCATTCCTCCGTGCATAATTCTTGCCACAATGCAGTGGTTCAGCTCATTCATTTTTAAAGTGATTCCCTACAAAAAGAAATGTTTACACTCTTAAAATAAAATATTAAGCAGTGGGATTCTTGAGTGGTTAAGAACAGTCACTTTTCCTAAAAGCTTGAAGGCAGGGTATAGAATAAAAATCTTGCCACTCACTTAAATATAAGCAATGAAAACAGACCCTATTTATAAGTGAAGATGCAATAATTTGATATATGAGCATGTAAGATTCTGGTTTGTTAAAAATGTAATTTTGTATTGAAGTGCTAAGTGCCCAGTTTGGTTTAAAGCCTGATCTGGTATAACTAGTACAAGGTAGTTTTTAAATGAAAACAGCTCTAGTGGTACAGCAGTAGTATGAATGCACACATAGCAATTTAAGTTACGTATATAGAGAGGAGGAGAAGTACCTACAATGGCCACTGAGCTATTCCAGCTATACTGGCAACCCTACTTCAAAGTGCAGCAACTGTCATTAAGATCATTGTAATACTGGCCTTTATCAGTACAGAGTCAAGAAAAATATTGAGGTTGCCTCCATACCATTGGTTCATCTGTGTTCTTCTGGAACTGCACCAGTCGAACTCGTGTTACATTCTCCATATCCATGTCGCCGTTTGCGCTTTCTGGAGAATCTCCATTTAAATATGGAGAGGTGGGAGGAGGTGTAACTCTCAGCGCTTCATCACTGTAAACTTCATGTGCCACTACATCATGAGTTTGAAGTAAGGCCTAAAGGAGATTACAGCAACAAGATATCAGACTTCTATCATTTCTGATGCCCCCCACTCACTCCTCATAAGTATTTTTGAAGCTTTCCAGAAGTTAAAGGAAACTCAAGATACTTGTGCATCCCTTTACATATAGGAACTTTTCTCCTAAAGGAGACTAAGACAAACTTCAGCAGACTGCAAATGCATACACGCATACTTAGTCTTTAAAATCTACACAAGTAAACCTAATTTTCACTGTAGATACTTCAGTGAGAATGATGCTGCTTCCCTCTACTCCATCTCCTTGACACCTGCAAGGTGTCAGAATTATGCCATCTTTATTTACTTGCCTAGACACAGAATTAGGAAGCTACCTTTCTGAGCAAACTATTCTATAATAATTACCCTAGTAAAGTGAAAAGCTATTCAGATCCCATGGTATTTCATTCTAATAAAGACAGACTGTGGATCGGTACTGACTGAAATAAAATACTGAATAAAATACTGTTTTTTGTTATTTACTAGCATACTCACTTCGATATTCTCCCCTTCACCTACAGCATGGACCACACTGAGTTCAAAACACCTGACAGAAGTTACAATCTAAACCAACAAGCTGCTCGAATATTACTTCATTAGTTTTACTCTGTTTCGTGATGCACAGAATGGTACAACATGTAATTGATTAAATGTGTTTAGATATCTTTGATAAGCAGAACAACTGACCCTGTAAGAACTCTAAGCCAGGGCAAAGACATGAAGTCTGTATAACTGTAAAAAGTGTAACATTATTATGAGATAAAAGTTGGACAAAGTGTAAACATTTTCAAAGCAGTATCAGGATTTTTTATGGTATTACATTCCACTGTTCTCCAGGATATGCTCAAGAGCACTGTATCACATCCATTTCACATTTGCGTTCAAGTCTTAAAAATAAGCATATTCTAGCTAGCTTGCTTCCATCCAAAAATGAAATATGATTTATATGTGAATATGCTAGTACTACTCCTATACTAACTCATCAAGTGCCAGAGATAGATCTCGCCTCTCTACCCAAATAGACGGGTTTTGCAGGTAAGGACTGATAAATCAAGCCTAGTTCTTACAAGAGCTCTGCAATAGTAGAGATATCAGACTCCACCACAGTTGGGTCAATCTATACTACAGTTAACATCTTGATGGAACAGAATTCCCTAAACTAGCAATGCTCTGCCCACATTTCCTCCTGTTTTTCCAGTCTTTCAAGCCCACCTACACATATACTTTTTTTCAGTTAAATACTAAACTGTAGCTGCATTTTCTGTTCTTCCTAGTCTGTACTACTGAAGTAACATTTCGTATTTAGAGATCTGGACCATATATGTAAGTTAAACTACTTAAATAAATTCTTAATTTTATTTGTTTAATTGGGTGCAAACTTTGGTGTGAACACTCCTATACAGGTTTAGAGATTTAGCTTAATTCTCATTCTAGTATCTAAGAACTCTTTGCAGTTGTCCCACACAAGACAAGAGCATCCACGTGCAACCATGCCTTAGCTCTGGCTGTTACAAAAACCATCCATCCTAGGGGTGAGTGTGGTCTTCACTTTGCGCACAAGCACTCTTTTAACAGTACGGTGACCTTCTGTGCTTCGAACTCAGTCTACTCAAAGCTACTTACTCAAGTTCATGCATCTGTTACACTCTCCACCCTTTAATACGACATCTCGTCTGTAATTCAGGGCCTTACATTTGTTTTACATCAAATACCTGTCTTGCTTTATATTATAATTTAGCAATAATATATACCTTGTAGGAGGTTAAAATATGGTAATTTGAACATTTTTATAGGTTTGTCTTTATACTAGTTGACTTCTGAATGTGCTATCAAAAATTTACACAAATACAGAAACACCAGATACTGAAGTACAGCAAGCTCAAATTAAATTATGAAAACATTTAATATAAAGCGTGCAATTGGACTTTACTTAAACATATTTGTTTTCATGCGTTTCTGTTAATTTTGTTAATTTGGATTTTTTTTCCTGTATTTTTCTTTTGCAGAACATTTTAATATCGCAGGATCACTGTCTGCAAAGAATAGCGTAGGAAGGCACATGAAGATGCATAAAACTTCAACAGGTAATTACGTAAAAGTCTCCTAGTACAGCAAACATTTCAATTGTTGCACATATTAAACATACAACAGAACCTTTTACAGATAAAACTGGCACATTTGAAAAATCACTTGAGTTGTTTAACGAAAGAAAAGCTTCTTGAACACACAACAAATGAGATACTTGATAATCTTTTAAATAATTCTTAAATTAATTATCTGCTAAAAGAGCTTTGTGCAAAATTTACATACATTTCTTTAAAATAAAATTTTAAGCGTGTGCACACTAAATCAATAATTTATTTCTGTACCCATAAGGCACACAAGGGTAAATCAAAACTAAAACAACAAAAACTTTGAACTCGAAGATCTCAGTCCCAACCAGAGTACTTACAAATACATACTTAATTGGCTTTGGTTCTGTGAAGGCTTCTAGTCTAAACTACTAGTTTAAGTAAATGAGAAAGACTAAAATCCATTATATATCAACTAGGCATACACATCAGATAATAATACAAATAATAGTAAAATACTTGGCTATCATACAGGTGTTAATGCACATGATCCTACTTATTACACCTTATTGCTTCAGTTTCTCTGCATCAGAGCTCAGGAACTTACTAACGAATGTATTGCTCTGTACCATGCTTGGTAAACACATTGAGTGCAGGCTGACAATATTGTTTTACACAATTATTTACATTTCTAAAAGTATCTATTTTAAAGGCTTTGGCTCTCAAGGGAAGTTTGGCAGAATGCCACATACATAGGAACAATTTTGTAAGGTCTGCAACCTTATAAAAGGTGTATCTGGGAGCAGGAGTGGGAATGATGGGAGAGGATGGGATTGCCTCCTTGACATCTGGAGATTCTTTGGTATATTTGCCCTGTTCCACAGTAACAGATGCTGATTTAATTGCTGCTTTGCATATTTGTGTCATTCCTCCCTATCCTGGACTGGATGTTTCTGTCCCCTTGCTCATTCTGGCTCTGGCAGTATTCCATTTGTGCTTAATTCTTTTTGCTAAATGGATCATTGTTTTGTTGGAGCAGTTTCCTACTAGTTTAGCATAGTGCAGTACCGAAGTGCAGACTCAGATGGATGTCAGAACAACTGAGTGGATGAAACATGGGGAGAAGGGATGGGACTCCATCAACTAGCAATTTAGCTTGGGATGTCATAGACGAACTTACTGAAATCATTCCTCATCAAAAACACTTGCTATGGAATCGCAGCTTATTCCTTACAAAAAAATACCTTTTATAGAATCTCAGCAAAAGAATTCTGACAGATGGTTTTAAATTTATGGGGATATCAGGGGGAAATAGAGATATCTATAAACGATGATTTCCATCTCACTTTTTCCATTGCCTGATTTGATACATTAAATTTTTATATGTGTTTTGGCTTGGCCTAGATAAATGCCAGGTGCCCACCAAAACTGCTTCATCACTCCCACTTCTCAGCTGGACAGGGGAGACGAAGTATGATGAAAGACTAGAGGGTCGAGACAAGGCCAGGGAGAGATCTCTCACCAACTACTGTCACGGATAAAACAGATTGAACTTGGGGAGAAAAAAGTTTAATTTATCACCAATCAAATCAGAGCAGGATAGTGAGAAATAAAACTAAATCTTGAAACACCTTCCCCTTGCCTCTCCCTTCTTCCCGGGCTCAACTTCAGTCCTGTTTCTCTCCCTCCTCCCCCAAAGCGGTGCAGGGGGATGGGCAATGGGGGTTGTGGTCAGTTCATCACACGTTGTCTCTGCTGCTCCTTGTCCCTCAGGGGGAAGACTCCTCACACTCTGTCCCTGCTCCAGTGTGAGGTCCCTCTTGTGGGAGACAGTTCTCCACAAAATTCTCCAATGTGAGTCCTTCCCACGGGCTGCAGCTCTTCATGAACTGCCCCAGCGTGGGTCCTTCCCATGGGGTGCAGTCCTTCAGGAACAGGCTGCTCCAGCGTGGGTCCCTCATGGGGTCACAAGCCCTGCCAGAAAACCTGCTCCAGGGTGGGCTCCTCTCTCCACGGGTCTGCAGGTCCTGGCAGGAGCCTGCTCCCAGGCCCTGCTCCAGCGCGGGGCTCCCCACGGGGTCACAGCCTCCTTCAGGCATCCACCTGCTCCAGCGTGGGGTCCCTTCCATGGGCTGCGGGTGGATATCTGCTCCACCATGGACCTCCATGGACTGCAAGGGGACAACCTGCATCACCATGGTCTTCAGCACAAGTTGCAAGGGAAGACTCTCTGCTCCAGCATCTCAAGCACCTCCTCCCCCTCTTCTTCACTGACTTTGGTGTCTGCAGAGTTGTTGCTCTCAATTCATCTCACTCCTCTCTCTAACTGCCGTCTCACTGCAGTTTTTTCTTCCTCTTCTTTAATATGTTATCACAGAGGCACTACCACCGTTGCTGATTGGCTTGGCCTTGGCCAGCGGTGGGTCCGTCTTAGAACTGGTTGGCACTGGCTTTATCAGACATGGGGGAAGCTTCTGGGAGCTTCTCACAGAAGCCACCCCTACAGCCCCCCCACTACCAAAACCTTGCCACGCAAACCCATAACAATATGCCACAATCATTTTTATTGATGCTTAGTCTGAAAAGAATTTATACTTAAAAAAATGCTCTTTCTCCACAGTGCCTAATCACAGAATCACAGAATCACAGAATAGTAGGGGTTGGAAGGGACCTCTGTGGGTCATCTAGTCCAACCCCCCTGCCGAAGCAGGGTCACCTACAGTAGGCTGCACAGGATCTTGTCCAGGCGGGTCTTGAATATCTCCAGAGAAGGAGACTCCACAACCTCCCTGGGCAGCCTGTTCCAGTGCTCTGTCACCCTCAGAGGGAAGAAGTTCCTCCTCATGTTCAGACGGAACTTCCTGTGCTTCAGTTTGTGCCCATTGCCCCTTGTCCTGTTGCTGGGCACCACTGAAAAGAGCTTGGCCTCATCCTCCTGACACCCACCCTTCAGATATTTGTAGGCATTTATAAGGTCCCCTCGCAGCCTTCTCTTCTTCAGGCTGAACAAGCCCAGTTCCCTCAACCTCTCCTCGTAGTGGAGATGTTCCAGTCCCCTCACCATCCTTGTAGCCCTCCGCTGGACTCTCTCCAGTAGCTCTTCATCCTTCTTGAACTGGGGAGCCCAGAACTGGACACAGTACTCCAGATGAGGCCTCACCAGGGTAGTGTAGAGGGGAAGGAGAACCTCCCTTGTCCTGCTGGCCACACTCTTCTTGATGCACCCCAGGATCCCATTGGCCTTCTTGGCAGCCAGGGCACACTGCTGGCTCATAGTTAACCTGTCGTCCACCAGGACAGTTTTTGCAATGGTGTGTTGTAATTATGCAAAAAAAAGGTAAATTAAATGAACCTGATGATAGATTCCAAATAAAGAAGTTAAATGTTGAGCCAGATTTGTTACAGACTTCAGGATAGGTATCATCTCCAGGCAATGACATATCAGTGTGTTGCTGAGTACACCACAAAAAGCCAATGTCTGCATTAGCAATTAGTGCAATGAAATAGGAAAGGATCAACAAGTAAAACAATTGGGTTAGTGAGGGCCCGATGGACACACTGAACACATTGCAGGAGTTTTTACTTCTGACCAGCTTCCATCTTGCCCTGTGGACTGAATGCCCCTCAGCTGCTGGATTACACTAGCTGAGTTTCAGGTGTACATCTTCATGTTGAATTTTATCTGAAAGGAGTCTGGTTTGCATGCTTTGAGGCCCTTACATGATACAAGCCAAAGCACTGTAAAGGGACAATCAGGAGATTCACTTCAAAAACACATTCCTGATCTGGTTTAAAGTACTAAAATAAATGCACCCAAAGCTACACTGGCCATCAAAAGAACACACTGGGACATGCAGCTATCCAGATTTTATCTTATACCTGAATATGAGGTTGGTTTCAGCTCATTCTTTCCTGGAAATTAGGCTTATCCTTCAGACTTACAGTAATTCAGCTTTCAGGTGAGCAAATTCCACAAAGCCCCCTGCACATAATCCTTGTGTTAGGTAAAGTCAGATTCATGATTTTAAACTGACAATAGTGTATAGCAGATTTAAACAAACACTTCTATTTCTGAACTTATGAACTTCATTCAGAACATAAACAAAATAAATCCTTTAAGTAGTTTCAAAAGATTGGACTTCAGTAACTTGAACCAAGTTATTAAGCAGTCACATCCCTGAAATTAGGACAACTACTGCCCACAAATCAGGTTTGTGAAATAGACACAGCAGGAGCTGACATATTACACAAATTCACTAGACTGTACGAGCTAGTGCTTTGTTGTAAAATAATGCTAAATAAATACTTATTTTGCAATGACTTCATCTTTTTCCTCAGAAGACCCTGGGAAAAAGAAAAAGCAGGACCACAGCTCTACCTATGAACATCCAAATGGATTTGTTCTTTTTCTACGGGCAACACAGTTCCCCCCAGAAACACAGGGAAACTATTCCGTAATTCGATTACTCCAAACTGCTGACAGTTTTCAGCACAGTAGTGGGGACCAACAGAGTAGTAGTAGTAGAAGCTATTTGGCCAGACCAGCAGATTAGAAACATTTATTAGTAGGTATATTGTATTGTATGCAGCTTCATCACCTGCAGATTTTTGGGAGAACTTACTGAACTTAAGTTTTCTAATATAAGAAATATAAAAAAACCTCAGCAAACCTCGCCCCCAACAACAGTAGCATTTGCTTACCATGAAATGAGGTTGTGTTAAAATACGCTTTAGCTCCTTTGCGTCATTGTTCTCTGGGTAACATGAAATTTCTTCCAATACCTGCCAAACAAGTAGGAGAAATGCCCTTAGTAACTTTCTTTTAAATAAAGCTATTAATGAGAAAAATGAAAACCCTCACTGGTCAGTCAGAATATCTCCAAATGATTACAGAAAAGAATGTTTTTGATAGGAAAGGGCTTAGGAGAATGTGGCCTACCCCCCCACCCCAAGAGAATAAAATACCTCATTTCAATTTTCTTTCGGAGAGAGATTAAAGCAGAAATTTGACGGAAACAGTTGCTCTTTTTTCAACTGACAGTATTCCTCCAGCAGCTAAATATGTGGAGACAGAAATGAAGTGCTAACCTATAGGTGACATACATCACCACCAACAATTGCCATTTTGACACGTGGTCTCCACTTATTAAAATAATAAGTTTAAAAGCAGAATTAAAAATATTTATAAAACTTTCTCTCCACAAATTACATTATTAAAGACATCAAGTGTAGGTGGTCCCTCTGCTATCCCACCTCCAAGGTCCAGATTTTATAAAATCTGAGCTATACCTCAGCTCATCACTGGGGGAAGGAGGAAGCAGGAGGCATTTGCCTGCAACCTCATACTTTCACCTTTATTTTCCACACACAACTACCTGGACACTGAAAACAGAGTATTTTGCTTTTGGAAGCACCTCCCAGCATTAACTGCCAGGAAATTTTGCAGAATTGGACTTGGGGGTGTCTATCAGTGTGACTGCAATTATTACAGTGTTTTAGTCTTCCTATTAATTCTATTTTAATAGCATGATAAACAATGCTTTCCTATGGCGTTATCCCAACAACTGTACTTATTTTTACTGATTATATACACTACAACTGTATTTTTTACTACTTGCAACAAATAACCAAATAAAATACTATTTGTCAGGTATAAGAATTAAGAACATCTGTGACTATATATCTTTCATCTTAATGGACCACCTTCATTGCATTTCTAGGTCTGCTCTTCTTAGAACTATCTATGATAAACCTGCTTTTTCAATTTAAAAAGCTGATACCTAGCAACAAACCTTTTCTCGTCACTAAGTAATATATAAACTGAACATGAAAGATGTTGCATTTACCTAAGAGGAGTACCACTATTGCTGCAGCAAAGGTTAAATAATGAAACTGAGTAATATATGTAATCCTTACAGACATCATAAAATTCTGCAAGTTTATGCAACAAGTTAAGTAACTTAAGTAGGCAATGGCAGAACTCCATAATTAATTCAGATTATGAGCCAGAAGACATAACAGTATCTTAATGAAGAAAAAAATGTTCCACTTTAAATACAATCAAACTTTCAAAGTAAAAAAAATATTTTAAAGCCATTACCTCTTTGGCTCTCTGTACAGCATCACTTGGAGGATTCCTGATTGCTGGTGAAGATTTTGTGTTTATTTTGTCATAAAGCTGAAATAACAAGAAAACAAACTACTGAAATCATATGCTACTTTATAGCACTAACAATAGCTTGCTTATGTTACCATGATTAAGACGATTGTTAAACTGCAAGTCCCACAGATGTTTTGCATAGAAAATCTAGCAGCTTAGGGTTTTGGCTTTTCATTTTTAAACATTTCCTGATTTGAACAGTGCCATAGATTCAGAGTTCATAGGATGACATGGGAAAGTTCAAGAGGTTAAGGGATTCTGCAAACCTCCCATGCTTTTTCCACAGATTTACAGAAACTATATTCTTCTTCTTCTAGAAGTGATCCTCTGAATCTTGAAGAAATGCTGTAAATGATACATTCTGCTACAAAATCAAAGCGATCTGCATATTCTACTTTTCGCAATAAACCAATCATCAGACATTCCAAATAGTAATTTAAATAAATTTAAGAATATGGGAAAATGCTCTTGAAGATAGAGAGCTACAAAAGCCTAGGTCTCTGGAGAAGAGAAAACTAAATCTTTCCAAGAAAGAGGGCTCACAAAAAAAAAGCACCCTTATTTTACTAGGATTTTCTATTGGACAGAAGAATGCCAGTGTGTTTAAACAGGAAATTGTAAATCTTCCAAGTTAATTATTTAAAAAAAAACCAAACAACTTTTGAAACCCCCTCAGCTATGCAAAACACAACAGGAGAGAGATCCATCTTCGATTTCAAATAGATATTATAGGCTCTTTTTCATACAGACCTAAAAGATTGGGCATGTTTTAAAGAAATACATGTATACTTAAGAATAAAAAGACACTGTAATAAGTACTATTTTCAAATAAAATACTTTTGGCTTAAATTTCAATCAATACAAAGATGGTCATGCCTGTAATTAATTCCTATTTATGTTAGACTATTTCTTTGAAATATAAGATAGAAAAAAGATACAAATAGCTATTTATTGGATGTCAGAGAAAGTTTAATCCCAGTGAGGGTGGTGAAACACTCCAACAAGTTGCCCAGGGAAACTGTGGAACCTCTCAAATTTGGAAATACTCAAAATTAATCTGAAATTCAAAATAGTGTATATAAACAAAACATTCAAAAGACACAGGGGACCCTTAACACCTTCAGCAAATCCTAACACTGTAAAGGATGAGTTGATAAGAACCCCCCATTTAGGCTGCTTAGCAAGGAGCTCTCAGGAGCTTCCTCTGCGAAGCTTACAGCTCCATCGTTTGGCTGAGGACGGCCTTGGGTGTTTGAAAAAGGCAATCTTGTCAAGTTACAGAAGTGCCCTCTTCTCTCTCACATGAAATACCATTCGGTTTTAGAAGAGGTGTAAATTGCAATAAATGCAATCCAGTATCGTCATCATTTTCCTTATGTTCCCTATCAATCTAATGCACACACAAACAAATACAAAAAGAGGAAACAACGTCACTTCCAAACAACATTGCCTGCAGGACAGTTATAACACCATCTTGGGGAAAGAAAAGTTGAAAAGTCAAGCTAAATCAGTTTCTTACACATCCAACAACTCCATCTTGTGCTGCCAAAACACTGCTTTACTCAACAGCCTTGACCGCTGTTGAAGTGTTTAAAATAAAAGCTTTCTGCTAGATTATATTTCAGGAGATACTTTAGTTGTGTACACAATTATTTGTTTTTACCTTTTCTTAAATTAGTAAACAATACCTACCCAAACTCCAGCAACCACAGATTATTCAGTATCACATTTATACACCTGTTAAGAAACTGCATCAAGCACTGCGTACCGAGTAAAGTGCAGTAGATGTTGACAATGCATGATATCCAACATGAATACTATTGCATGTATTTTTCTAGAAGTCGCACACACATTCTATTTAAGATTAATGAAATCACAGAAAAATTAACATGAGAATATTTTTATGAGTTATTTCTAGCAATTGTTTAAAAGCAAAGTTGCTGAAGTTGCTGATTTGACTCAAGTCGCTATGTTATTGTGACCCAAAACAACCGGCCGTTTATAGAAACAATTTTTTCTCACTGTCATGGGAGAGGAGAAGTCATCTTCTGAGACTAGGAAGGAGGCAAAAAGCAAAGTGGGCAGCAAAGTGCTCCAAGAACGTTTAGAAAAAAATCAAGGCAAAGTTCAGACAAAACAAGGGTGCATTTATTTTTCCATAGCGCCTTCATGCTGAGGCATGGCACTTAAATTTCATCTTCCAGGAGTGCTGCTTTACTGAGATCTGCTTCCAAGACACCAAACCATTAGGACGGACTCAGTACTTAAAAGAAAAACATTCCTAGTTGCATTAAGGCTTAAAGCCTATATATTACGCAAGCCACAGGATCCATTCATTGTTTCTGGAAGTAGAAGACAGCCTCAGCTAGAGAAAGGATGTATTTTTGGTAGCTTCCCTAACATGAGCAGATCTCTTCTACAGAATCTTCTTTGGCACTCTACCTCTAAAGCTCAGTACAGGGGCAGGCACTCCTTCCAGTGTCTAATGGAAAGACTATGCAAACAGCCTACGTGGCATTACATTTTTACAATGAGTACAATGTGCTTTTCTCCAAAATTCTGTTCAACCTTAACTCTAAAAAGCAAGAAGCAAACAAAACCCACAATAAATCTGAAAAGAAAAATGAAACTCTCCAACTTGAAATGCATTTTGAAATGGTAAATTCCTAATTAAAGCCAGGGACATTTAATGAAGGTATACTGATTTAAGAAAAAAAGAAATACACTTTTTCATTTGTTTAACTGGGTTACCTTCACTTTAACCTCTGCATGGAAGGAAAAAGAAAAGTTTATTTTCTGTCCAAATAAAAAATCATGCATCTAAGAACAAAGAACACAAGTAATACTCAAAAGAGGAGGAACTATCCTCTCAGGGGAACCTCAGGCAGCCAGAAAGCATAAAGTGAGCTATGTATGAGTTGCTCCCAGGGAAGACTACAGCCAAACACCATATCATAATGAGAATATCAATGAAGAAATAAGATTGTTATTTGTGTTTGTGGCATGCTCAAAATAGATCACTGTTCAGTGACTATTATGTTCAAAATGCAGCAAGGATATCAAGAGGCAGAGAGGGCTCAGAAAAAGCTTTCCAAAAAGATCAATGATCCCTCCCCCTAGAACACTATAAAATGCCTGAAGAAGACAGAATTTTGATAATATAAGGGAATTGAGTTTAAATGACAAAACTATCACATGATCCGGGTAAAAGGAAGTAGTCAGGACAAACTTGGGGTGGAATTAAAGCAGAAATATCAACACTGCAGGTAATTAAGTGTGTAATTGATTTAGTCTCCTGAGAATTTTTAAAAATTAGAAACAGACATTTTTGAAAATATATACTCTAATTCAAGTTAGCTCATGGACTTTTTTAGCTTATAAGGGGACGAGGCTACATAATTAAAATCGCTGCTCCTAGCCACCTATTCCATAAACAACAGATTAATCTTTAAAGTTTCAGTGTAAATAATTTATTTTTTAATTTGTTGCAAAATTATATCTAGATCAATAAAACTGGTGTTTTATGAATTATCCTAAAGGGAGCCAATAGCAGTAGTGAAAGATTTATTTTTGAGTCTGAAGTAAAAGATGATTTCCACATGAGAAAATCCAAATTACATAAAGAAAAGTGTAGTTTGTCAATTCCTGTACAGTATTTTTTTAAACACATTGTAGATGTTCAGCTAGTTGTTACTAGCTCTGAATTACTTTTAAAACAGGACCTGACCGTGGCTTTCATCACATCAATGTTTCTTTGACTTTTTATAGATGGGCCACAAATTCTTAGGTTTTAATTGTGGTTCTTGAAATGATGGTGCACACTGTCTTGACCTAAAACTGTTTTTTAACCCCTTTTAAACAATAAAACAGCTGCACTTATTACTGACATTTCATGTTCGCAACAGAAAATTTCCAAGTGGAGACAATCAGTATTGTCACCAAACTGTCTCAGTGTCTATTTTCACATCTTACCTGGAGACAACCTTTTGTTTAGGCCATGCAATTTCTCTCTGGTATAATGCATTATAACACTAAGTTATTTTGGAGAGTAGTGGCACAAATTACAATACACAAGACAAATGCAATTATTACACACCGAATACAGTAAAATGACAAAACTGTTTTCAAATCTATAAATACATACACAGCAATACCCCCTGAACCATTTATCTTGTTAAGGTTCACGTCATTATGTATTTCTAATGCATCCTTCAGAGAAATTAAAATAATATTATATATAAGATTATATCCGAAATACTATTTCTACATTAAATATTTATGTAGTCAAAGCAAAAATAAGAACATATAACCAAGATACGGATCTTTAAAAACATGTCAAGTAATAATAAGTAAACCCAGAAACAAAGGAAGTATTAGTACCTCTTAGTACTTGCTTTGTATTTTAGTCTTTTCAATATACCATTTCAACAATGCTTTCACAGAATTTTTTTGGACAGTAAAAAAAATGTCTGGTTCTAAAGTGTCTTGTTTGGTACGTACTCATAAACAGAAGGACAAATCCAGGATATTATTTTGTATCTCTCATTTCCAATTTTAGTAACTGTGTGTTCAGTCTGGATGTAATTTTATAGCATTATGTTATTAAGCTTATTTCAAAAACCACATTAACTCTAACAATAATTACTCTTTCCTGGTTACAGAAGATGATTAGAAGCTTTCCACCAGCTGGTAAGAGGAGAAAAGCCTACACTATGCATGAATGCACCAGAACTGGTGAAGCAATCCTACTTTCTTTGCACTCTTTGGTAAAAGTCCATTTTGCAATACTTTGCAAATATTTTTGCACTTAAACAACAGCTATAGCAGAAGCAATTTAGGAGAAGGAATCAGCTCCGTAATTTGTCTCTGAAAGCATGTGAATTTAGAGGTTTCATTTATATACATCAACAAGAACATTTATGCCTTTGGACATAAGAATCCAACACACCTTTACACAAACGTTTTACAAAACGTTTATGAAAACTCTGAATGAAACCTGTTCGCATACATCGTAGATT